GAGAGGTGTACCTGGCTGTTGGTGCCGGAGCTATTGTAGGAGTATCCTTTTCCAGAGGGCATGGTTTCTGCGAATTTCTGTTTGAAGGTTGAGGATAGATAAAGAGAAGAAAGATGATGGAAGAGAAGAAGAGAAGAAGGGGGAGCGCGGATGGGGCATTGAATAGTAAACACAGGACGGCACAAAGTATATATTCAATGACAGCATCTAATCTATCTAATTGCATAGATCTCTTGTGTCAATACAATGCTGAATTGCTGCAATGGATACATCACATCTGTTATAAGTTGGGGATGTACACGACATATCCCGCTAATACAGTATGTCCTCGTTCTCGGTCATTTCTCACTACAACATAAATCTTGTCGTTTCACTTCCGAATATATGGGCGAGCTTGAGCTCAAGTATTGAAGACCAAGGGCATCTTCTTTGATTAGCATAGATACACTTAATCTTTGTTTTATTGTTATCGTGTATGTCTCTGAGCCTCCTGACACCTTCCATCGCATCTGAACCTTTGATCGTGTCACAAAACGGGAATGCCCAGGTAGACATAAAGCTCGAGAAGTGGAAGCACCCGAAGATCAACCAACTCTTTGTCCACAAATGGAATTTTCTCAAACAATGCTCTTGTATTAGGCCAATCATTAGTGTCTTGCAAGTAACTATTGGAGATCCGAGTTTCGTTTCATTGTCTCAAACCCTTAGTCTTAATTCTTTGCCCTTGTGTTTTGAGCCCCCGAATTGCCCTACATTCCCCTGATTCATACTAGCTCCTTTATTTCCTAATTCTCTTTATCTCCTTTGCGTAAGGTCGATAGTAACAATTGAACTGGTCTTAGCATCAACGCTACAATCGCATATAATAATTAGATAGCCCCTCCAGTGGTGATATCCATCTCGAGCAGATACTTTCGACAATCACTATCCCAGCGAGCCCAGTCAAACAAGATAAACACTCAATAACCTCAGCCCAATTGACCAGATTGTACACCAAGTCTAACATCTTACATATGGCATCCAGGAAACAGCGAAAATCACACTCTGCCCTCCCCACCAGCACCACATCCCCCAACCCCATTCCTTCTACAAGCAAATATCAAACAGTTCCCAGAGAAGAAGTACCCCAGCTCTACGGCGAAATCCAACAAGCAGGCGCCGAACGTCAAAAATGGATAGAAGACCCAAAAGACACCACATGCACCATCAAGCCCTCGACTCTGTCAATCTCAAAGCTCAAAAAGCAGGGCTGGACTTTCAAGACTAACATCATATCTACACCACTTGAAATCGAACCAGAATTTGCTAAACAAGGAATCCCCAAGTTCAAGAAATACCGAGACGTGGAGCTCTCCAAGTCAGAGCTTTCCAAGTCAGGCGGACATGAGAAATGGTGCTACAACTCCTACTACATCATTCTAGGAGAAGGCATAATCTACGCCAAAGACATCAAAAGAACTGACGGACCCCCATTCTCGGAGATCGCAACAGCTCTCTATACCGCCAGGTCGCCAATAGAATCTCTCAAACATGTCTATTTCGATAACGTCGTTAACGCCGATACCAAGCGGTTTGTTAGCAAGAGGCTTTATACCGCGCAAAACGGGCTTGCTTGGTCGCCCTACAGGCCTATCATGGTTTGGAAATATGGTACTGCTGAGTATCAGGGTCTTTTGGGGACGCGGCTTGGTAAGGCGGTGGTTTACATGGTTTTGGGGGCTTTCCCTAGAGGGACGCACTATATTTCTAAGGTTGTTACTTTTACTGGGCCGGCTTATGGTTACGCGCTTCATTTAAGGTTTGATATTGAGCCGTTTCCTGTGGGTTGGGGCCGGCTTGTTTAGTTCGGCTTGGTCTTGTTTGGGCTGGTCTTTTTGTGTGTTGGTATAGGTTTCTTTGTTTTGTCTTTAGCATTTGTTGTCTGGATATTTAGTTCAATTTCATAATTTCAGGTCAGCTTTTTCTGGTAATTTAGGTGTTAACCTACAAGATTGTACTATGCCCAGAAACGGCTAGGTCAAACTCATAGATAGGCGGCTACGGATCAATAAAAAGGAATACTTGTACATTGAGGCTGCCCCTTCCTTGGGGTTTTCGTATCGTCAACAATTCCTTTATGTACACATACAGGAAGCCTTATTGGCGACTTCAACACCAACAAGCACAGCAAAGCCCGCGCGTTTTGGATGACTCCTTCAAAAATGCTGGGGGAAACAAGTGCCAATAAAAGAGCAAAAAAAATAAATAAAAAAATAAAAAACCAAGAGTGTGTACGATCAGAATACACAAGAGCAGAGTGGCAGAAAAAGGACGACCCGACGCCGAATGGGGGACTGGGGCTGAGAGGGGTGGTAACAAGATGCAAGACGGGCAAAAAAAGGAAGAGAGTGGGATTAATAGCACATCAGAGACAAGAGATAGAGGTCATCGTTCTCGTTTAGGCTGAATCGGGTAGAGACGCCTTATTGTTTTGCTTGTTGGCTAGATCGAATCCTTCCAAGATATCAGACTTATCCGACTGAGCCGTCCCCTGCGCCTCCTCTCCGAAGCTCTTCTGGTCGACGTCATGTTCCGAGCTTTGCGATGACTTGGAGGCATCGTCCACTCCAAGAGTCTTCGCGGCCATACTGCGAGCCTGCGTCTGGCTGACCTTTCCGTAGACCGCCATGGCGTTGGCAATCATGCCACCCATATCACCGACATTACCAGGAACAACGACGGCGGTACCCTCGCGCGCCAAGTTCGACCAAGCATCGACATATTTCTCAGCAACTCTGAGGCTAACAGCGTTGTGAGCATTCTGGCCACCCTCCTCGATGGCGCGGGCAACAGCCTCAATACCGAGAGCGGTAGCCTTGGCCTTGAGCTGAATAGCCTCGGATTCACCGGAAGCGCGGTTGATCTGCTCGGCGCGCAGCGCCTCAGAAGCCAGGATGACCGACTGCTTGCGACCCTCGGCAATGTTAATGGCACTCTGGCGCTGACCCTCGGAGTCAAGAATCTCAGCGCGCTTCGACCGCTCGGCTGTCACCTGGCGGTGCATGGCAGCCACGACCTTCTCGGGTGCATGAATATCCCTGATCTCATATCGCAGGCAAACGACACCCCATTCCTGGGCGGCCTCGTTGATGGCCTTTGTAATGTTTGTGTTGAGGTTGGCGCGTTCCTTGAGGACATGGTCGAGTGTCAACTGACCGATTTCGGATCGCATGGTTGTCTGCGCTAGTTGCGAAATGGCGTATTCTGCGTCTTCGACTCCGTAGCTACATTGTAGAATCAACGTGTTAATCACTCTTCGGCTTAAGTACCTCCACTCAATCCTGAGAAGCGTGGGCTATACATGCACTCACCTTGCCTTGTACGCATCGAATACACGCGTGTATAGCACACCATCCAGTTCCAGTGTGACATTATCCGCCGTAATGGCGTTCTGGCTGGGAATCTCGATGGCGTTCTCCTTCAAGCTCTTCACGTAGGCAATGCGATCCAAGAACGGAACGAGGATTGCCAGACCGGGCTCGAGGATGCGGTGGAACTTTCCCATGCGCTCGACAATCCATGCTGTTTGCTGTGGCACGAATCGCACAACAGTGTTTGCGGGGAGGGGCTGTTTGTTGGAGAAATAGGTGGTGGGTCCGTCGCCGTATGGGCCACCGGCTTTAAGGCTATTGAAGAGGGATTCTGGGGCGAGACTCCTAGAAGAATTTGAGAGGGCTCGACATTGAGTCTGGTGCAGGACTGTGCTGGTTGACCCGTTGCTGGTGCGTGGGAGGCGGCGTTGTTGGGGAAGGAGGTTCTGGCCACGAGACCGGAGCAACCTGGAGGTCTGGCGGGTTGCGCCCTCCATCTTGGTGAAGCCGGAGATGGAAATACAGAGGATATGGATAGTGAAGGGGCGCACTGGGGTTAGAGGCGCAGAACGAAGTTGGAGAGGGGAGAGGGAGCTGTCGGATTAAGGTTCGGGACTGATTATGCTTGCTCCGTTTAATTGAGGTCTGCGCGCCTGAGGCAGAAACCTCGGCATATTCCGCCCAAAATGTTGCATGACAACGCTCATGTATTTTGTAAAGGCAATGAGTACGTGGCAGGTTAATCTTACAGCTTACGTTGATATATAGCAGTTTTAGTATCATAGAGTCAATTGCTCATATTATGCATAACAATCATATTACTCCACAAAGAACTGAACAACCGGTTTATGCAAAGAACAGAGTACAGAAACACAAGTCTGCTGTGCAAAGAATCCAGCAAGAGGAAGGACAAAGCAGAGATTGAACGAGGTCATTTCAATGCCAATGCTGAAAGGGAAAGAATCTGTTCCTGGGATGACAGCAGTAGACCAGATGACTAGGTCTCTCGAACGAGGAATTGACAATGTAAAGATGCTGGTAATTTTTCCCGGTTTGACGCACAACGAGGGGTAACTTGAAACACACAGATAACCTCCGACAAGACCTTTTGTTTTGATTATTGGACCATTGCTTTTCTCTGGGTCATTGCCGTGCTGATACTTGTTAAAACCCAGAGCCGAGGATCCGGATCACACAATGACTAGGTCGATAAGAAGACCACAGCCTTAGAAAAGAAACAAGGATAGAAGTGCAAATCTCTATGTCAAGGGAAACACAATTTTTGTTGGCCAGGCACACCGTAGCGGCAGGCATCGAGAGGAGAGACACTGCCAGTAAAAATCATGCCCGGACGCCAGAACATTTTGATAACCTCCCATGACTGAAAGCAAGGAACAAAAATGACAGAAAAGGAGATGAGATAAAATAAAATAAAAACTCCCAGGCTTAACAAGAAACAAGCCCAACTGCATTGCAAAGAAGTTGGCACTCTAGAAGAAAAATTGGAGAATATGCATGCAGAAACCTTTTGGACAAAAGTAGAAAATGCCGATCATGACGAATGAACGAGCAGTGGGAATGGGTCGCGAAAAAGAAAAAAAATAAAATAAAAAAGAAGAAGGAGAAAAACGAGGAAAAATGTGAAAGGGCTCAACGTTGTAACTTTTCTCGGGGCAATTTGCCGTGCAGGGTATTGAATTGTTTGTCGACATTTTTCTGGTTGTGCAGCCACATTTTCCCACTGGCGATGGCGTCATGAATCATATCAAAAGCAATTGTGGAATAACCGTGAGATGTATCCTTCGAAAGTTTGATCATGTCGAGCATCACAGTGGGATGGATACAGTGGGCAAACAGACAGTCCCGATAGAAGTTCATGAGAGCCTTGAATCCAGTGTCAACGTGTCGTGTAAAAAAATCATCAAGGGCTGAACGCCTAAATTCATTGTACAGGTGCGATTGGAAATTGCTTGTCAAGCTCCGAGACCAGTCAGAGTAAGGCAGGGTGGCTCCAGGGGTATTTTCTCGGGCCACTGATCGGCCTCGACCATCGAAAGGTTCATCACTAAACAGGGTGGGAAGTTGGGGGACATAATTGGACGTTTCTGTGGACGGACGACCCATCCTCTTTGACTTTTTGTACCTCGAGCTCTTGAAACGCTTGTAGTCTGAACGAGTAGCACCGCCAACTTGGTGTCGAGAGCAATTCGTGTCAGACCTTTTCAACACAAGTCAGTCAATTTTTACCAGTGATGAGGCGAACTGGACTGGGCATACCTCACTGGGCCCGCCATCATCTCCAAGTCAAAGTGGGAAGGGGATTCGGAATGCGATTCTAATCCGCGCGCTGAATAAGGGTCAACAAATGAATAATCCACGGGGCATTGCGAAGACGAGGATACAGTCGACCAAGTCGAGTCCGCATCTTGCGAAAGGTAAGGGTCCACAGGGTATCCTACATTGGCAATTTCATTCACTGCGGTGTGAGGCAATGAAGGCATGAATTCTGGGGCGGTAGACGAAAGCGATGTCTTCGAGGCATTGGCAACTCCGTTGGGAACGAACTGACGAGCAGAGCCGTTGATGGCGCTGTGCACAGGGGTGTTCTCATCGGTCTTGGCGGCGGGAGTACCATCGTGTTGAGCGGCAGGTTCACGCTGGTCGACGGGGAGAACCCACTGCTGCCACTTATCTCTGGGACGCAGACGGTCGACATTGTCTTCACCGGTCTGGTACTCAACATTACGGAGCTGACGAGCCACGTGACGAATAAGTTCGAAGTCCTCAGTCAGGGACTTAACACGCTTGAAGCTGGCAAGGACGTTCAAAGGAACAAAGCCCTGAGAGTCCATCTGCTTGCGAAGGAACATGTCCTTGCACATGTTGTCAACCGAGAAGTAGTACTCCAACTGCATGGACAGCATAGACATGAGCGAGAAGGGCTCCATATACTGCTGGTAGGGCACAGCGCTCATGGGGCCAGGGTTCACAGCCTGGTAGCCGTACATTGTGTTGATATCGCTAGGGAAGGGGTAGACACCGTAGACATTTCCGTTGGGCAGCGAGGGCGATCTCAAAGGCATGCGGGAGTTCTGCTGAGAGCCATTGGGAAGACCGTGCTGTTGTGACCGCTGTCGGTCGTTGAAACCGAAGGACTTGGCCGAAGCAAAGTTGTTGGACATAGACGCACTAGTGAACTGAGCGTTCTGGCCACCGAAGTTGGAGTAGCCACCACGGCCACGGTTGCCTCCACGGCCTCCACGTTCTCCACGGAATTCACCGCGGTTGAAGTCGGCGAAGCCATTGGGGTCAGCAGACTTCGAGCCGGCATCAAATCGACGGTCATTGGTGCGGGCTGCAGCCTGCGAGTCGACAGCCAGGTTTCCACCCTTGCCATTGCGAGCTTCTTGGTTCTTTCCGAAAGGCTTGCCCTCGCGCTGGGAGCGGGGAGCGTTCTCTCCGTTGACCGGCTTGTTGGCAGTATCCTCGCCGTTACGGGCTCCACGGCTGCGCTCAGGGGCTTGGGAAGCCTTGCGTGCATCAGCAGCGGCACCAGCCTCGGTGCTGGTGGAACGTCTTGACTGAGCAGGGAGGGACGCAGCACGTCCAGTAGCCTCGTTTCTTCCGCGCTCTCCGATGGCCTGTTTAGAGCCTTGGGCAGCCTGTCCAGAGGCAGCCTTCTCAGTAGCAGGAGCACCGTTGCCATGAGTTCCACGGCCAGAATCACGGCCGCCACGAGTGGCACGTCGGCCTCCACGGCCGCCGCCAGCAGAGGGCAGAGGGGTGTTGAAAACAGCAGTAGGTACGTAAGGAACGGGAGTCCACTTCTCCTTTCCATGGGGTCGGATCACGGGGCTCTTGTCGGTCTTCTCTTGGGCCTTCTTCTTCTCTTCGCCAATCGCGACCTGGGGAGTGGGCCATGCGGTGGAATCCTCAACTGGGGGGACCGATCCTATAGAGTATGTTAGCATCTGATTGTCATTTTCACAAGATTGCGTCATCATCGTCCTTCTCAAAGCTAAGTGGACCTCGCTCGCGCGGTTGATAATGTCGCAATTTGTAAGTCTAAATCTTACCAGCATCGCGTCCCTTTCCGCCCTCGGTCTTCTTGCGGTCCTTTGTACCTTCCGGTGCGCTTTCAGCGCCCTTCTTCTTGGAAGCCTTGGAATCCTGCTGGGTCTCATCGGAAGCACCCTTGGTGGAGTTGGCCTTGCCAGTAGCAGCGGACTTGGGAGCAGTCTTGACCTTGGCGTCTTGCGCCTCTCTGCGCTGTTGCCAGATGTTGATTGAGGGGAGAGGAGCAGCCTTCAGCTCCTTGGGAGGACCGGCGTCCTTCGTGGACTCCTCGGACTTCTCGTTTGACTTCTCAGCAACAGCATCGGTCTTTCCCTCGGTGGAAGCCTGCTTCTCCGAAGTGGCCTCTGCGGTGCCATTCGGGGTATTTGAAGAGTCGTCCTCCTTTGACTTTCGGGACTTGGAAGTGGTGCGAACGCTTGGACTTGATGTGCGGGAGGCGACGGCCTTCTTAGCAGCATGCTTGTTGGTGACGGTGGTGAAATCGTCGTCCTTGGTCTCCTCCACAGCGACCTTCTCAGATGTTTGAGGGGCCTCGGATTCAGCGGGGGCCGGTGCGGTCTCCGTTGTGGTCTCGGTTGGTTGTTCCTCCGGTTTGGAGTCGATCTTCTCCGGCTCTGATGGCGTCTTGGATGGGGTCGGTGTCCCGGATGCGCCCTTGGCGGCTTGTGCGTACGAAAAGGTAGACATGTCGAATTGAGAGCTTATTGAAGCTCTGGTAGTGACGATCGGTAAAAAAAACGAGTCCGTTTGAGAATGCGGGTTGTTTTTCCCGGACCTCCTTTGGCGACTCTGGAGAACTGTCTGCGCCTATTGGGGCGAGATGGCTCCTGCAGAAGTGGGGATCAAAAAAGTATCCCACGTTCTCGTGAATCCACTGAACTGTAGCTTCCCGTCTTTCAGAGAGGCTCCCAGTGTATGCGAGAAGGAGGATTTCCTGCGACAATACAAGAAACCAGCGTATGTGTGTCGGCGCAAAAAAATGCAATCGAACGGGTATCGGTCGTATGGATCGTCTAGATCACAAATCGCATTGATTGACGAAGCGTCGACTGTGTGAAACGAAGATCTCAAACAGCTGTGGCTTGCGAACCCGCGGTTGTCAAGAAATGAAGATGTGAAAGTCGGTGCGAAGGAAATTTTTCCACCGAGGACGCAAAGGCACTGCCCTGTGAACGTCGTGTACCAAGCTGTGAAAGGTTGAGCGGCAGGCTCGTGCAGTCACTGCTGTTAGTGCAAGTCGGATGCACAGGAACTCTTCCCTTGCGTAATTCCACCCTTCACTCTCGGGTAGATCAACAGGCAAGGAAGAGAGAGTTCAATTCAAACGGCGTTGCTGGCGAAAGTGTCGATCCCTTGAAAAAATGGGGGACCGAACGACGCGATTCGCACGTGGTGGGGAGTCTCGGAAGGTCGGATTTCGGTTCTCTCGAAGCGTGAGACGATGAGAGGTACCGAGAAATAAAGAAGAAGTGACGCGAAAGGTCAACAAGTGGGTGTTGGAAGGGAGGAATGGAAGGGGAGAAAACAGCCCGCGGAGGATGGGAGAAGAGGAAGAGAGGAAGTCCAACAAAATTATTTGGTTCAGGGCAGAATCTGGTGGTAGCGGGGTTTTCCTTACACTGCGTAATTAATTACTCTTTGGCACTTTTTTTGTGGAATTTTCATAGCCAAATAGAAAAACATTTGATTTAAATTGGTTTTAGTCTATCTTACTCCAAGGTTCCTTCAAGGTGGCCTGATTACTACTGGTCACACTAAGTCCCTGAGATTGCCTAGGCTCCCAAGGTGCGTAATGGGGGATACTGTGTATACTTTGTATACTGTGCGCAATTGAGACATACATTCCCCAAGGCCGAATCTCGTCAATAGTTGGCCGTGTACAAGCTCGAATCCCTTTGTGTATCTTCTTTGCCGAGGTCGACAATCTCGACAGTATAGAGGAACTGCTTATACTTGTATACCTCACCCTATAAGCTCGACGAACACCACGCACCGAGATAATTGAGCCTCAGGAATTCACCGATGCCTGATTACCGAGGTCGCGCGACCGATTAAAGTAGCTGTCAGAGTGGCGATAGTTCAGGGTTCAGTTCTAAGCTTAAAAGGTCGTCAGCCATTGATAACCTATGCTTTGATATTGTTAACATTCACCCTCATTATAATATTTGAGGCATACAATTACCGAGTACCGTGAAATCCTCGACTTTATTTCCCAAAAAAAAAATACGTACTACGCTCCGTACATCTGACTGAACTGAACATCGCAGGGTCCACCAGAGACCCTCTGACGATTGGCGCACAATGAAATATCTGACGGAGAGTTCGAATGTATTGGCCTTCCTTTTTATAACAGTGGCTAATATCAGCCTTGGTATAGATGTATACTCTCCAGCCCAATATATCCCTATGCCCGAGGTCACATTTAGTGTAATATTTCACCCGTCGGACCGTTAATACATATGCTCGGATATACGAGCCGGGGGATGAAATGTTAGGGTACCTTGGCCCCGGGGTAAGTGTAATACAAGCAATGCGCCGTGAGTTTGAGTACTTTTATTACTTTAACACTAAAAATTACCCTTCTTATATTTGTGCGATGTATACTCGGGCACGTGATCTGGCGGCATGTACATGTATGTACACGCACTGTAAAGTTATCTGTTACTTCTCGCCAAATTGCCCAAATAACTGCCCAAATACTTCTACTTCGATTATTCTCCCTGTCCGTCTGATTCTTACTCTTGAGCCGTTAACACATCGGGTACACATGTTGTGCCTTCGGCAGAGGTTAGGGCTGAGGGCACGCGGAAACCACCGGAATGGAGTGGGTATGTAATCGGATTACATGTATGGATGGATTACCCTGGCGACAGGGGATATGCTTCAGGCGTTTGATCTATTTAGATCTAGCTTGACATTATGGGGTTTGGAAAGTATCGCTGGTAAAATTGGAATATCAGTGTCCCAGAGGAAACTCTAGGCCTGTACAAAACCACAACAATTACATGTAAGTTATCCGAAGACACCAAACTCCATACCGCAAAAACCATGTAGATACATCTACCAATGCCGAAAACTGACCAACACCTGTTCGCGCGCATCTAACTCAATCGACCCCAGTGGCCCCGTCACCAACCCCAGCCGCATGAGAACCTGCCAAACAAGCTTGCGCTTGAGATTTTCCCGTACGGGAATCTTTTCCACGGCGTCATAGCCATTGAAGTACTTCAGGAAGACTGGCCAGTATTTCTTGTGCACGGTCTGGAGATCGTTATCTGGGCTATTCTTGAGCTCATCTTGATCTGTGTTGGGGTGGTCGGGAAATCGAGCGACGATCTCGTCGAGCCAGCGTGACTCGAGTGGGGATGCACGGTGCGGAGAGAGAATGAATGATGAGAGACGGAGAGCTGTTGATCGATCTAAGAATTTGTGAGACATGCGCAGTTGCGAGTGTGGATCGAGTCGGCCGGGCATGGGCGTCTCTTCACCGCTGTCGTGGCTTGCTAGTGAGGATGAGGATGAAGAGTTCGCATCATCATCATCATCCTTGTCGTCGGCGTCATCTTCGTCGACTGGGATGGAATTGGAAGAGCCCTTTGCTAGGTACCGGTCCACTTCCTCCTTCCGCAATGCCATTTCCACAGCCATTTTGATCTCGGGTGTGACCTTGATACGCGCAAATGTGCGCAGCTGAGTGACCCAACCGCCGCGCAATAACCATGCCAAGATGTTAAAGTAGGCCTCCTTGTGGTCCTTGCTAGGGATGAAGTTGCTGTATGGGCGAGGGGTACCGCTGAGGGTGGAAAGCATCTTTGGCAAGCTGGGGAGTGTTGGGAACGCCGCTTGATAGGCGATCGTAGCCACTTCCAGCTTACTCAGGTCACAGTTCGGAGAGACGATGTACGTATCTCGTTGGTGGATTGGAGGTATAGCGCGAGCACGACGCCAATACACGAGGTGGCTTGACAGCATCTGGATGTGAGATAAGGGGATCCCTGACGACGCTGATATCTGAGCAAAAGACTTGGTCGGCTTCGAGCAACGGATGTAGTGGGCGAGTGCTGGAGCAAGAGCGCCACCGGAGGCTTCGACATCCTTGATAATCGCAGCTTCGCTGTCCAATAGTAGGAGGGCGAAATGCTTTGCCAGTACTTGATGTGGCGTATTGTTTCCATCAGCCCCTGGATCGTCCACTGGAGTTGCACTGTCTGCTGTTGTCAGCCACAGACCGGGGTATGATTTGTCTGCTGGGCCAGAAACGTATGGTGTAGAGGTTAGTGGCGGGATCTGGAGCGAAATAGACACATCCGGGCTAAGCGAGATAGATGCGATCTTGGATGCTGATATGCTACTGTACACTGTGTACATAGCCCTAGCCAGCGAAGACTGAGAAATCAATTCAGAGTAAAGATTATGAGTCGATGTTTCTGAAAAGTTATGTCAGCTCGAGCATGATGACAACCGCCAGCAGAAAACTTACTATTCTCTCGTGCTCTCCGTCGAACTTGCAAGATATGTTGAGACTCTTTCCACACATAGTCAGTGCGAGCCTGCTCCCACTTGAGTGCCTTGGCGAACTTCTTGATAATGTTCTCATAGATCTCCTTCACCCGCATCGAGTACTCCAAAAGAGGCGGATCCACGACAAATACCACATTGAACATAGTCATATGATCTTTATCCTCGGAGTCAAGAGGCGCACCATCTCCCATCTTCCCCGATTTCCCGCTAGTCGAATCACGCTTGCTACCCGTCGGCGAAGTCAAAGACTCCGCAATGGAGGCAACACTGGCACCCAAATCAGGAGACCGCTCATCACCGCGCCCATCCTCAGCTTGTTCATTGTGACCCAATTCACCACCTTCCCAGTCCGCACGCGGCTTCTTCTTTTTCTTGCGTCGTTGTTTGCGCCATGTACCATCCTCGCGCACGAAGACCGGCCACCCAATAAGGGCAAGGTCATTGATGCCAATCTCAAAGCGCCGCTTATGCCACGACCGAGACGGACTCAATAGCTTCTCCCATACACTCCCGGGTACACCCAGAAGCGACTCCCAGGGCGGCCTAGAACTCCCAGGACCATCTTCAGGTCGATCAGACGCCGTTCCCGCATCCTCCTCGAGATCCGAGCCTGCACCACCGCGTTTTCGCAGCGATGAACCTCGACCAGAGCCTAGAGAGCCGGGACGGTGCGGTTCATGGACTGCAGTCGACGCCGAGACGGATAGGTGCTCGTCGAGGCCGAAATTGCTGGCGCGCCGACCTGAAAGCACTGAGCTGCCGCCGACATGGCTTTCTTTTTCTCTTTCTCGGTCCTCTTCCTCCTCATCAGAGCTTAGTCCGCTTTCATCGCTTGAACTGGAATCGGTGTTCTTCGAGCCTCGTCGCGTGCGAGTGCGGGAGATGCGCCGGCCGCCCTTGGTGCTGGATTTTAGGCGGTTCTCGCTGAGCGGATTCGGGGGTAGTGGAAGACGAGACGTGGACCCGTTCGTGAGCGGACAATTAGTATTATGGCCACGAGACACGGGTCTGGAGGCCGTGCGATCGAGGACATTTGGTGTCTTGGGACTCCGTGGAGGAGTTGGAGATCGCAGGCTCTAGAGTGGTTGGGCGGAATTGGTTCCCCGCATGCTCGAGCCAACGGTCTCTCGGACTGTAAATCAGCCATGTTTTGCTAACAACTCATGCGCAATATGTCTGAATTTAGCTGTTCGAATCTTGGATTATTATTTCCAGGGTACCGCTTGGTTGGCATATGGCTCCTACTATTCAAGCTTCCAAGCCTCTACCTAATGGTCAAAAATTTATGAAGTTCCTATGCAAGACGCCATACTTGCAGAGTGAACTAACTAGACACGAGATATTAAAAAACTCTCTTGAAATATCATGTTGCAGAGGAGTTAACTATTACTCTCTGCTGTCATGTATAAAAGTTTTAGGCACTGTCACGTCTTCTTAACGTGCCCACCGCATTTCGACAGAATCAGGCACATATAGATATCATATAGATACCGTCTCCATCTCACGAAGACAGACACTCAGTGGCTTTATGCGTATAGGTATCAAATGCATTTTCATATGTACAACGCCTTGAATAACGCCAGCACTACCCTGTTATCAGACTAGTGCCAATCTCCCATCATATCGTACAATATCGTCCAGCACTTCATTCTCCCAGCTCAGCTTTTCGGCTGCGCAGTATTCGATGCATCGGCACGTGCATTGGCCGGGGCCTTCTCTTTCCCTTCGTCGTCTTTGAACACCAGACCGAGGTTCTGGAAATTATCCGGCGCCATGAGGTTCCTAATAGATATGTCCGATCAGCACATTGTTTCCATCGAGCTTAAAATCTTCATATCTGTAATTATGAAGGTATCAGATGCCTTCACGAAGCAATTCCAACCTACTTGTCCATTCGGCAGGAAAGGTATTCCTTGGCCAATTTGCGACACGCCTCGTCGTTGGTGCCTCTGTTGAGCTTGATGCACTTCAGGTATCCCGAAATAATGTGCTTGCATTCTCCTAAAGCATCCAATGTTATAGTTAGCTCCTTTTTTTCGATTGTCGTTGAGGTTAAGATTAAATGGTTGTGGCTGTGGGCTATCGTACCATCGTGATCGAGAGGGAAGCTACCGCGCTCGGGTCTATACAAAGAAGCATAGTCAGTATAATTCTGGAGTCGCAGTTGGAAATTCCCTCCCTCAATGGAGGAAAATTGCCTGCGCAAAGCGGTTCGTTTCAATCAACACTTACGGCGAGGGCTTGTAGTTCACCGATCCGCCTCCGGGGGCTCCGAAACTCATGGTCAAGAATTGTGAGCGTAAATCTGCTCAAAATAATAGCGATAAAGGAGTCTGCTTTGATACAGACAAAGCAGTAGCGTCGTAAGATGAGCACTTGTCGGAGAGCGAGGCCAAAAGTCCGAGAGACAAACAGAGCAAACAGGACAAACACCCCACCGGCCAATCACAGGTGCAGGATTCCGTCGATGATGTATATGTCTCCGGATGGAGGGGAAATAGAACTTGGGCCTGCAGATGCAGAGCAATATTGGACAGAGATAGGCGGAGTTAGACGGATTCTGCAGTCATACCTTGTTTTACCTGTTTGCTTGTGTTGTGAAGTTTGGTTATGATGGGATTCGTGGGATTATATATAGAGGCACTGTCCTACTTTTCAAATCAGCCGATTAGTGTTTCTCTACCATTCTCATTCTTCTTGTTCAACAACCGCTGGTCTCATCTACTTAATCTTCATTAACCCAAATCATGCCCATGTATGTGGAGCTGGATAGCAAGCATCTTGTCGCACATCAGCATCAGACCACTGACCGAACGAACAACAGGAAACTCGAAGGAAGCTGCCAATGCGGCGGCATTCAATTCACCCTTCAATCGCAGACTCCAGTACCATTCCAGCTCTGTGCCTGCAGCATCTGCCGTAAAGTAGGTGGATACCTGGGCGCTGTAAACCTGGGTGGTATTGCAGACAGCATGAACATCACCAAGGGCAAAGATCTCATCAAGTACGAACCCATTAATCCATACTAATTCCCTCTTAATTTATTGTTTATCGTATCCACGAATATCAAGAACATGATACTTCTACCAATGATTAACAAACAAGCTAACACACCTAGGAAATACACCGCAATCAAGGACCGCGGAACACCAAACGAAGAGCTCTGCGACTCTGAGCGCAGCTTCTGCTCGAATTGCAGTACCATGCTCTGGGTATGGGACCACCACTGGCCTGAACTCATACATCCATTTGCTTCCGCAATTGATACGGAGTTGCCTGTGCCGGATGAAATGGTTTGCATCATGGAGGGATCTAAGCCGGCTTGGGCGCGGTGGCCGGAGGGGAAGAAGAGCGTGCATAAGCTTTACGGTAAGGATAGTCTTGAGGGGTGGCATAAGAAGCATGGTCATTTTGTTGAGTAGGACATGTCCATGTCTATGTTGGAGTAAGGAGCTTATGAACGGCCAATGGCGAGAGGAATTCACGCGATGAGAGGCAGTTTGATTTATAATGGAAAAGATATGAGTAAAAAAGAATTTTCTTCATTAAGATTAATGCTATTATGTAGTAACCTTTGGTTTCTGTGATGCGAATTAGCAACAGAACGTCTCATGACACGAGTGACATGGAGGGTAAGTGAAGAAAAGATCAGTTCTCCAAGGTGAAATAATATTGTATCGACACGGTGATTCAGAAAGAACACAGCGAATATTAAGGGTTCATCAGGCAATGAAGGAAAGATTGGAAGAAAAGTAAACTCACGGTCAACAAGCCAGGTTGCATACTGGTTATGTGTTCCTACGTATTCACTTATGTCGAGTCAGCGATGGCATTCAAGCAAGATGCAGACGTCAACAGCAAGATCAAGACATGGCAACTAAGTCAGGCTAGAAAGTCAGTCAGCATGGAACGTAAAATTTTTTCGTTCAAAGAAACTCACCTCATTAAATCAGATTTTTGTATAAATGTTCATTCCCGGACACCGAAGTGCCCAGGTCAAACAGTGTGAATAACACATTCATCATAATAGATATGACCATGATGGGGGAGGGCAACGAAATTAGAGCAGTGAATTACCTAGAGTTTCTGTTAGAAACACTGCAAAAAGCTTGTCATGGCGACATGGACAAAATGGTATAAGGGCAATGGGTCAGGTGACGAATTCTCAACAAGTAATCCACCAAACATACACCCACAGAGTTTGTACGCTCTGCTAGTTTCGGGTGCATGAAAGACGGGTACGTTATGTCCGCCCGTTCGTTCAAGATATCTTCATGCTAGGCAATAGCCGCAATGGAATGATGGGAATGGGAGTAACTTCGATGTACCTAAGCGACAGCTTGTTAGCTAAAGCTCACTCAATGAATGGCAATGAAGCAATGAGATATTGTGATTAGGGGTCAGACAAGGCTGAAACTAAATTTTGACAGATTCCACATGGTGATTAAGTTTGAGGAATGCCTTTGCATGTCGAATGATCATCATCCCAGGGGGGTTGTTGAGGTTGAGAGGAAAAAGTTTTTCCTTACCTTTTAGAGAAAATTTTTGCTTGCAGCACCGAGATTGAACTCGTGCTTGAATACAGCAGGGGTGTGTGCCATCATTAGACACAGTCCAAGCTGTTGAGAAAACAAAACGAAGAAAACAATTGAGAGCTCATAGCTCTTTGGAAATCACCGGCAATGAAGAGGGAAGAGAAAAAAATTGTGGGTGGAGCTCGCTATATAAACTGAGGGCGGAGTACGGTGGCCGGATTCTACCACTGGTGCTGTTTGTCTTAACATCAAACATCAACCGAGAAACGCGACTAACTACTCTCCACTATACCTACAGTACGAGGCTGTTACAGTAGAGTTCGAAAACAGATCACCCCTTAAACGCTCATGTTTTGTTCCTCGGCCTGTACCCGACACACTAATCCGTATTGAGATAATCGTACTTATATGAGTCATCTTTGCCAAGGAGGGGGTTTCTCGTAGTCCAAGGTCAAAACAATATCGAGCTGCATCATACGAGTGACCTACACTCTTTTGCTCGCCCGCTATTTGAATTTGTGTTAAGCATGGCTTCAAGCGATTTTCCGCTGGCATCCTGGGAGACTTTCGCCCCTTCTTGGGATGAAGGCATGGGAGATGAAGGAAATGAATATTTCCGCTTTCTAGAACTTCCCATCTTAGTGAAGCTGATTGGTAAATTAGAAGGATGCAATGCTATAGACCTTGCAACAGGAAATGGTCTTGTGGCTCGCTGGTTAGCCCAGAAAGCCGCTTCTGTCATCGCAACCGACGGTGCAGCGACGATGATAGACCGTGCAAAGGCGCGAACGGACATCTCTCTTTATGGAAACAAGATATCCTTCCATCGCCTCGACGTCACAAGCCAGTCCTCTTGGGAGAATTTCATGGCGATCGATAATAGTCTGATGGTCAGTTTACAACCTGATTTACAGAGTGTCTTCTTACCTCTCACATGCCATCACGCCTCTTGATTAGAATGACGGCTTCGATGTTATCACTATGAATATGGCTCTCATGGACATTCAGGATCTGGGGCCATTAGCAAGATCTTTGAAAATTTTGCTCAAACCGAACGGTTGGTGAGTTCTAATATATTTTTCCCTCCGGAACATACGTTTTGGATCCTTATTCAAACTAACAGCTATCTCCTAGCTTCGTTGCTACTCTGCTTCATCCGCTATTTTTTACATCTGGGGCAGCTCGGCAGATAGTAGTCCATGAGGACCCGGAGACTGGCCAGCGAATTGTCGACCGCTCTATTGTTGTAAGCAAATACTTGAATGTCGCTCCCGCAAGACAATTGGTTTTGAAAGGGGAAACTGAGTCGCCGGTAAGTGATTGCAAACCTTCCCTATCCCGTGAGAGGATGACATGACTAAATAACGCGCGTAGTACTTGTTCCACCGGCCTCTTAACCAGCTCTTTGCACCGTTCTTCCAAGCGGGTCTCGTCCTGGATGCACTTGAGGAGACCAATTTCGATGAAGGCTTCCGTGATCCCCTACGTGAACACGCATCGAGGAATTTTACCGAATTTCCGAAAATACTTGGCTTCAGGATGAGGCATATGTCTGATATTTAGCGCAAGGAACATTAGCAGGCTCGTCAGATCACGGAGGCGGCAGAGTAATTTGATTCCGGACGTCACTAGTAAATAAGAGAGTTTATTTGCCTTCCTACAGTATGTCGAACGATACTCGAGAGGGAAGTACAGCCAACTCGACCACAATTGAAGCGGGTTCCTGCCACTACGTGTGCCACTGAAAACAGTTTAGACGATTGAATATGGTGTACGCTATTTCTTTTGACAAACTGCAATGTCAGTTACGGGCGGAAAAGAGTAGATATCGTAACTCCACTAACTGATCTAGTCATGGCAGTGGGGTTGAGAAGTAGAATGAATGAAACGGTAGAGCTGGTTCTACCCTTACTTGTAGCTCAAAAGCCCAATCGAAAGCCTGCTTGTCATTTTGTCGCCACTCACAAAGCGATATCCTGGCATAGGGTGCTAGGTGCAATGATTCCATTTCCTTGAGTCAAAAAATGGCATTGCGCTCAAACTAGAGATCTGGATTATGATTCTCACTGACTTGCTTCCAAAGGCGTCTCGAACATCCACAGAGACTAACGTATGGCGCCCAGCTGCATGTATTCTCTTGGCTTATCTCCGCATCTCGACTCCCTGGTTCAGATATGACTCAGCCTTTTGTCGTAAAGAGTCCATTGCATGCCTCCATAAAGCTGGCCCAATACTGATCCTTGCCACACCAATTTCAGCGAGCTCACGAACCGACAACCCGTCAGAATCGAGGCGTGCGATTACATTCAGTCGACCTTTGAACGCATGGCACAGTTGACTAACTTCCTGAGCGGCCAAACCTCGCTTGAGTCCACCCCAAACGAAAACCGTCGTAGCCCCGGCATCCAGATACGCTTGTCCACGCACAATTGCATCATTGACATCGTTGTCCTTGAAGACAGCATCCGTGCGCGCATTCACCACAAAGCTTGGAACACCTGCCTCCTTTGCAGCATAGATTGCTCGGCGAATACGGTTCACTGCTTCATCTAGAGGGATCATACGCCCTGTGCTGTTGTCACGATCTTCAATGTTGCACCCGGACGCTCCGAGTGCAATGATACTTTTGACAGCATATTCCAGCTGATCACCGTAACCATCTTGCAGGTCGACTGTGATGGGCTTTTCATTTTTCAAAGCGACTGGGATGATGCGTCGTAAGGCGGCAAGATTTGTGTCTAAGTCAAGCTCATCATCGTCGCATCCGTTGACCGCAGAAATAGCGAAGCTTGCAGTAGCGACGGCCTCCGTCGCTGGGTGTGTGGCCACCATTTCCGCTGTTGGTACATCATAGACATTTGCAAACACAACAGGCCTGCCGGGTTGATGGAGGCTGCGAAGTTGCTGCGCTCTTGCTTCCGCCATTGTCTGGATATTGCAATTTTATTGTTGTTGTTGTTGTTGTTGTTGTTGTTGTTGTTGTTGGAATAGGGACGTTATAGTTTGTCTCTGAAGAGCACCGTGAGCCACGACTTATAACCAGGACGATGAGACTGTATTCGAAATTAGGACTACTCGAGAAAACCAGCGCGTGGCTTCGTAGTATTTAAAGGTTTCGCTGGAGGGGGTGGGAGAAACGAGACGCGTGTGATGGCTGATTCCTGATTGGCCAGTTTGATAGCAACGATCAAAGACTATACGGAAATGGCGCAGCGAAGCGGAATGAATTCGCTTTCATACCTAGTCCTGCAATCTTACGACCTAGCTGTACTGACTTCTCTCGGTCTATATCTACCGGTAGACAGCTGGCGTACGAGATATGCACACATGGGCGACATCGATGCAAGCTCAATGCTGCAAGCTCAACAACCCATCCATTTGGGGACCCTGCCTAGAACATTTATTCTACAGAAATTTACAGTATTTTACGATGACTCATTGAACGACTCAATCCAATACGAGACCCCTCACGATACGACCAAGTAGGGGTTATTTATAGAGTAACCAGATGCGGTCTAGGGTGTTTTCGGATACAAGCCGAGAGACAAATAGTGTGTGTTCGTTGGGAATCTGTCTTCGAATACTGTTGTATGTCATTGAATGTACCCATTTGGCACGCTTAGTATTCCATATGTTTCTTCACTGGCACACTATTGGTGTACCTTTGCTGTTAGGGTGAAGCTAAGAGCATCAACTTCTCACTGCCGAATATCCTCAGGTTTGATTAGTGTATTTGGTTATTTGACAGAGTGGTTAAACCACTTTGGGCATTTTCATGGTCTGTTTGCGAGATCTCAAAGGGCTTGCTGTACTAGAAACAGCATATAGCAATAAAGAAAAGAACGCAAGGCGTAACTGGTAGGACTTTGTAAAACGTAACACCAGCGAGGGACATGTCAGCGCTTTGGAACAATAGCTGGATTCTCGCAAGCTAGGAACAGGTTCAGACCGTTGTAGACCTGAAGGTCGTTCGTGGGGAAAGCATAAGTCGAGACCTTGCACTTAAAACAGACGAGCACGTGCTCGATCGAAGCCACAAGCAAGCCAACGGCTAAGATCCAGAGGAACCTTCTGTGTGGATCCGGATCCGGATCCGGAAACCGAAACACCTCATCTAGACGTCATAAAAGCCATAAGCATTTCGAAAATCGATTGCATCAGCCTGACGCTCAGCTTCAAGCATAGCAGCCAAGTACGGTACTCCAATTTTCGACATCGACTCTGCCACAAAAAAGCAACAATAGATTGTCTCTGAACCGCCATTGATACCAATCGAGACCAAAATGTCCACACTATACAAGTTGAATACAGGTGCAGAGATCCCGGCCCTCGGATTCGGCACGTGGCAAGATGAAAACGAGCAGGAGGACGCCGTCGCGGAGGCAATCAAGGCCGGATATCGTCACATTGACACTGCGCGTGTGTAAGTGACTCTTCCTATATTATGGTCTCAACAGCTTGATCGAATCTCATGGCTTATGGTGTGGTAGTTACGGTACCGAGAAAGCCGTTGGAAGAGGAGTCAAGAAAAGTGGTGTCCCTCGCAAAGATCTGTTCATCACAACCAAGCTCTGGAACAACAGTCACCACCCAGACGACGTTGCACCAGCCCTGCAGGATTCGCTCAAAGACCTCGGAATGGATTATGTAGATCTGTATCTGATACACTGGCCCGTGGCCTGGAAGCGAGGAGAGGAGTTGTTCCCAAAGCAGAACGGGAACCCGGTGTTGGAGGATATCGACCTGATGGACGTAAGCTGCGTCTCATACCCTGTCAGCCATCACGTTGGAGAGACTGACAATAAGACAGACCTGGAAAGCCATGGAACAGGTGCTGAAAACGGGCAAGACCAAGGCTATCGGCGTGTCGAACTGTGACAAGTTTGAGATGGAGCGCCTGGTCAAGAATACCTCGGTTGTTCCGGCAGTGCACCAGATGGAATGCCACCCGTGGCTGCAGCAACATGAGTTCACGGCGTGGCATCGGGATAATGGTATTCATGTCACGCACTACTCGCCGTTTGGGAACCAGAATGCCTTATATGGCATGAAACAGGAAATCGGGAGGTTGATCGATGAGCCTGTGCTGGCAGAGATCGGTAAGAGGTACAACAAAAGTGCTCCACAGGTTGCTCTTGGTATGTGTTCGCAGTGTGTTTCGACATTGGCGAGAAAAAAATGCTGATCGCAGTGTGTTTTGATAGCCTGGGGTATCACGCTGGGTCACTCAGTGCTGCCAAAGTCCAAAACCCCTTCTAGGATCAAGTCTAACCTCGAAGGAGACTTCAAATTGAGCCCAGATGACATGAAGAAGATTGAGAAGCTTAACAAAAAGCTCCGTTTCAATGATAGCAGTGGGGAGTTTGGAAGAGAGTTCTTCACTGGTCTCGAAGGGAAGTAATGACAATGCTATGCCCAAGCAATGATGCAGTCCTAGGATGTCTCCAATATCATGAATAAGTCTGGTTATTCCATCTTCTTAACGTGGACCAAGCAAGTATGTGAATTTGTAGATGGGAGTGGAGTATTCAAGCACTGGAGTATTCAAGCAGTGGCAGTAGTCATGGCTCGTGACGTCATCTTCCAAAGAGCAGCAGATCACTGCTTCCTACATTGTTCATCAATTTGATTAGCATGGTTTAGCAATGTCTTCAGCAAAACATGGGTTTGCTCTAGTTACTCCTGCTTCACGAGGGTTAGGCTTCGCGTTCGCCCACCAACTCCTAGCGCGGACCCAGCTCCCGGTGATCGCAACAGCGCGAAAGAATTGCAATGAGATCCGAGAGCGATTGCTATCCAGCAGTGATATACCAAAAGACTCCGAGAAGAGGCTTAGAATACTCGAAGTTGACGTGACAGGTACAGTACCAAATGCATTCAGCCCTGGTCAAGCGCTTCTTGACAACGTAAACAAACCTGACCGACCACGCAGATGAATCCACGATATCAGCAATGGCAGACACAATCCGGCAGGAATATCCGGACACACCTCTAAGACTGGGACTAACAGTTCCCGGCACTCTGCATGTGGAAAAGTCACCGAGCCAGATCGACTCCGCCAATGCTCTAGATAGCTTCAAAGTCAACTCCTTGGGTCCATTACTCCTCATGAAATATCTCTCCAATTTTATGCCATCCAAGTCTGCGCCCGCGTTCCCAAAAGCGAGTTCCACAGCTGCAGGCGGTTCTTATGCACCACTGGAGTTACCCTCACATGCTATCTATGCAATGATGGCTGCCCGCGTTGGCTCAATTTCCGATAACTCATCGGGCGGGTGGTACTCCTACCGTGCGAGCAAGTCTGCTGTGTTCCAGTTGGCAAAAACTTTTGATTTGTATTTGCGGACGAAGAGCGCGCAGAGGGCGATGGCTGTTGCGCTGCATCCTGGGACTGTGCGGACGGATTTCACCAAGGCGTTCTGGAGCGGGAGGGAGATGCTGGATCCGGCTGATTCAGCTGAGAGATTGTTGCAAGTTCTTGTCGGGTTATCGGCTGAGACGAAAGGAGGGAGAGGGAGATGTTGGGATTGGAAGGGGGAGGAGGTGTTGCCATGAGCATGCTGGGCTTGGGTTTGGAGTGGAAAGTTGAGCTTCATCCAGAAAAACAGATTTAATATTGCGATTTGACGCTGACTGCATATCCGCCGCCACCATATCTCGGAACTCCCCAACCAGAGTCCATGCACAAATGCTTCGTCCGGGCCTAATAATGGCAGTGAACAGCTTCTATTTTGTTCGGAATCCTCAGAGCCAGATAGAGCTCCCCCAGAGCCCAGCTGTCTGGTGGTAATGACTTCACAAGATGCCAAACAAGGCTGTCTTCTGCCTGTGTAGCTTTCAGCGGCATTGCTTCCTCTCTGTGATATCCGCTCAACATATAGTACAAAACCGCATAATTCCACCACTGCGTAGCCTGACAACAACCTCGCAGTTGCGCTTCGTATCGCATGCATGCCTTGATGCAAAATTTGGATTTCCTGTTACAGCGACTTGAAAGGCAGGCGTTGTCACGGGAAACCTGTATCCTTCAGCAAGATACCCAATGCAACGCGAATCACAATTACTGCGGGCATCGATACTCAACCAAACTGTCAGCAGGAAGAGTAGAATCAGACTGAAACCACTGAAAGGAGACATTTGCTGTACTGTAGTGACCATTTTGATGGCAACTCGGAGCAGCAGTTGTATGACTGCTTCAGCGTACGCCGACAACCACGATGTGGTTCTCAGCGGACGCTGAAGGGGCCATAGAACTGAGAATCCAAAGTACCAACCAGGGTCGCTTCCTGTAGCACAATTCTCACATCATGACACCCCGGAGCAGCAGGTGTATGACCGCTTCAGCGTACGCCGACAACCACAATGTGGTCCTCAGCGGACGCTGAAGGAGCCATAGAACCGGAAGCCGAAATGTCAACAGAGTCATCACCGAAGTGAGGATCGCCAGATTCATCATTCAGATGCAGTCGCGTGCGGGCGAAGTTCCGACGGCCGTGTGCAATGTCACGGAGGACAGAGTGTCAGAGAAAGTTACTGGCCAAAACTCGGAGAATCGGAAACAACAGAGGCACTGCTGCACAGCTGTCGCTCAAGGGGGAAGGGGAAGGGGGAAGAGAGGAACATGGGGAAGTCGAGCAAGGAAGGACCGGGAATAACTATTTATCCGGCACACCTTCCGTGCTCAAACAGACAAGTTTAAGTCAACTTCACGCCACTATTGTCCCAATAAGACGAACAACCTCAATGCTATTGAGGTTAGCCTTCGATTGGTATATGGTGGCACTGCTGCGTTCTGAATCATCGCAGCATGCCAAGTTCTTCAATGTTCTGTTGATTAAGATCCGATCTCAACTGAGGTCTAATAACAATGGTTCTTCTAGTATTTGCTGCTATGAGTTTTCTGCGAGAGAAAAAAAGAAATCTATCATTTTAAGACTGAACGCCTTATCTTTTAAATCGAAAAAGAATCTATATATGCAAGAAGTCCGAGCAGGTCGACGGGTGTATCAAATCTAATCAAAAATGCAGGCCTTCATGGAGTTAGGCTGAATATACTCAGATGCATTGCGGAAGCTGGTGAAACCCCAGCGGATCTGACCAGCCATGGCAATCTCAACGTCGAGGTCCTTGGCGAACTGCCATGGGAGACCAGTATCCCGCTGGAAAGCCCGACCAACGAGGATCACATCGAGATCGTGCTCGTTCAAAATCTTCTCAGCCAAATTTCCGTTGTTAATCATACCAACGGCAGCAACGAGCAGCTTGTTGCCGACGGCCTTCTTGACAGCAGCCGCGAAAGGAACCTGGAAGCCTGCACCAGATGTGATCTTCTGGGCAACGTGCACACCACCAGTACTGATATCAATGAGATCGATAGCACCCTGGGCAGCAAGAGCACGAGCAAACTCAACAGTGTCCTCGAGCTTCCAGCCCTTCTCTTCGGGCTTGCTGGTCTCGAGCCAGTCGGTAGCAGAGACACGAAGGAAGACAGGCATGTTAGGACCGACGGTGTCACGAGTCAACTGAGCAATCTCGAGGGAGAGACGAATGCGGTTCTCGAAGCTGCCGCCGTAGTCGTCAGTACGCTGGTTGCTGGAGGGGCTCAGGAAAGACGAAAGGAGATATCCGTGAGCGTTGTGAATCTCGATAAAGTCGACACCAGCGGCAACAGCACGTTTGGAAGCAGCAACCCATGCGGCCTTGACCTCCTCAATATCATCCTTGGTCATGGCAATAGGCATAGGGTCACCCTCGGCGAAGGGGATGGCACTAGGGGCCTTAACGTTATCGGTCCAACCGCCAACGGAGTTGTTAGCGACAACACCGCCCAACCAAGGAGCGACGGTCGAGGCCTTGCGGCCGGCATGAGCAAGCTGGATACCGATCTTCTGGCCCTGACTGTGCGCAAACTCAACGACCTGGGCAAGGGGTGCGATCTGGGAGTCCTTCCAGAGACCGACACAGCCGGGGGTAATGCGGCCCTCGGGAACAACACCAGTGGCCTCAATAATCATGTTTCCGGGTCCACGCTGGGCAATGGCACCGTAGTGAGCCATGTGCCAGGGGGTCATGTGGCCATCATCGGCACTGTATTGGCACATAGGCGCAAGCTGAGGGGATGCTATTAGCTTTGCATTTCATCAATCGAATGGATAGTACATACGCCCAATCGGTTCTGGAAGGTCACTCCCCTAACGGTGAGAGGCTTGAACAGCTTGGGAATGGGTTTTCCGCTCGTTTGGGGGTCGCGAGCTGTGCCTGCCGGAGGGCTCTGGGCAGGGGAAAAGTATGAGATGCCCTCAGCGGGCTTGACTGAAACGTCGGGCCAAGTCATATTGCTGATATGGAATATTATTTAGGTTACTGAAATAATTACATTGTAGGTAGGGGTCGGGAAAGCATATAAATACTTGTACTAGTTAGTGTGGAGAAATTGAGGTCTGATTTATCATCTGAAAATTTGATAGCTGTGGCTATTTGATTCTAAAACACGGTTAACCAACGGGATTCTATTTTCCGCATAGCATCTCCTGTTCGCCACGTGTGCTGGTTTGTCAGGGCGTGAAGCAGAATAAAAAAAGTCGCCGAATGATATCCACCCCGGTTGAATTAGCTCCCGAGTCCCGGCTTATATAATGTCTCCGATATAACGTTATACCCTTGGATACTTGTGGATCCATGGATGCGATTCCACGTTTAACTCTGTGCATTACAGTATAGCTTCAATGGAAAGGTTGAAAATATGGAATTGTGCTATCTCTAGGCCGCTGCTCCCATGACCGCGCATAGAAAGTTGACGACCTTTCTCCTCTCAGTCATTCGTCTTTGATTCGAACTGAACACGAAAAATACTGAATATTCATATAAAAAGATACACTCCATCCAAAAAAGAAAGCCATACAAGCCTCAAGCTTGCCTAGCAACCGTCCCACCCTCCTTCAGAACCCCGGTCCGATCAATAAGTGCCCGCGCCCGAACATAGGGATCCAAATTCCAATAATTAACCCGGAACTCCTCAATAACAGCATTCCGTCTCGACTTGAGCTCATCCACCGCGGCCGGATCCTCCTTCCCTTCAGCGAATGTAGTAGCAGAGATCCAAGCCGCCGTAGCAGCAAGCATGCGGATACCGATCATCATACGGTCGTGCATGAGCGAGTCGCGAGTTGCGGTATCCTCCATTATAGCGTTTTCGTCCTTCTTTGGCTCGACGTATTCGTATTGCCAATCCTCGTCGCCCTTCAGTTCTCGTGGGATCTGGGTGCGTGAAATAAACTTGTCCAGATCGGCGACTGATTTCGTAAAGTGGACTTTGGATGCTACAACTGGGTCCATCCAGCCGTGGATGAGTTTCCAGATTCCTGGAGTCAGACGATGTTAGTGTTGACGCGCTTAAGGTTGAGACCGGTCTTACCGGAGAAGATCCATGGAGCGTTATGAATGAGGAGGAGGCCTAGTGATTCGGGGTAATTGGCCTCGAAGCATTTGATAATAAATTTGACGGGTGAGTATTCCTGTAGTTGTCAGTACCTACCGGTACGGGCATGAGTGACGTTAAGATCTTACCATGTTGGACAAAGAAAATCCAGACATATCAAAGACGATTGTCTGCACACCAGTCAGCATATACCATAGACTTGGACAGCATGAAACGTACGCCCGTTTCAACTGGAGGAACCACAATAAGCCGAGTAGACTCAATGACATGGACAATATAACGCTCGAGGGTCTCCTCAGACTGAGCACCAGGCTTATGAATCTTCACTCGGACATAATTAACAGGACGGCCCTGTTTATCAAAGCCATGGAGGAAGCTCTTGCCCATCTTGAGCTGGTCGATGAAATCAGTGCCATCCTTCTTCTCCTTCACGGACTTGCTAGTCCTAGATTGCTCCAAAGCATATCCCTCTCCCTTGGGCAGAATATCGTCATCGACATCCATCTCTTTTCTCCACAAGATCGTCGAAGTCATCATACTGAAAGCCTTGCCGACATCCCACTTCCTGGCTCTCAAAAATCGCAGTAAGAGACTGTCGGGATGCTCCTGTTTGACCATTTTCAGGATTGCAAAACACATTTCCTGGGGCGTCATTTGAGCCAGAATGCTTTCCATTGACTTGATCTCTGATTCTTGGACGCCCAATTTCCGGAGCTGCCCGAATAATGTGGCGAAGTGCTCCGGAGAGACCTTTCGCGTTGCCAATTCCGACTTGATGGCTTTTTGGGCATCTTTGTTCATGAGCGAGTCTACTTTGTCAAGTGACTTTTGTTCTTTGCTTTCTCCGTTTGTTTCACCATTCGTCTCACCGCTGCCATGTCCATTGGTTTTGCCATTGGTCTCACCGTTAGTGTGGCCGATGGTATCGCCGTTCGTTTTCGCAGGGGCTATTCCGTTCGTCGATTCCCCATTTACATATTTTCCCTTCAACGCGGCGACAATAGCTTCAACACTTGGCTCATTGATCTTATCCAACGCCTCGAAGAACTTGTTCGAGGGTCCCTCGGGGATGGGTACATCATAGACAGCAGATAAAACCGAAGCGACAGAAGTGAAGATAATGATCCAAAACTCGCGCAGTTTGGCTTCCTGTTCGGGGGTGAGGTTGTGGAGGTACCCTGTGGAGGTATCGGGTGCGATAGCCATGGTATTGTTAGTATGTTATAGTGCAATGAGAGCGTGGTGATATAATGGTTCATTTTCGCAAAGCAGACGAGCCTCTTATTCATACTATATTCATTTCCGAAGGGTCTCCACATGAACGGCCAAGGGTTGGCTGCCTCGGTCCTCCTCATGCCACGGGGTGACTCAAAATTGATGCATGTACCTCGGTGTTTGAGATCGGTAGATCATCTAGTTTGGTTACCCTCTATGCCCTGTTTTGCGCTAAACGGTCACAGACCCTGGGGAGACGATCCCCCATGCGGAGGTGATCGGCGCTCTCGGCGCGCTCGGCTTGTTTTGGAGGGTTGGAAATGCGTGAAATTGGGTGGGTTCGAATCTTGGAGAGAAATTATCTGATTTTGAGATGGACGGGGTATAGATCAATGATTGTATTCACGATAATATGCCTCTTATCCCTTACATCCACACTACTCCCATCCCGCTATCTTCGTCAACTTCAAATTCATCCCTTCCAAAGGTTGACTAGTCAATGTCCCTCCAAAGGTAATCTTCTGCTTCGGATCTCTCAATTCACACTGGAAAAGACCAAATAGCCCCGCGACCGCACAGCGAAACTCGGCCTTCGCGAAATCCTTCCCAATACACGCCCTCGGCCCATGAAGAAAAGTAATCTGGGCGAAATTCGTCGATGCACCCCCATGCTTATTCGGGGATTGTTTCCCAGTCTCACGATCAGTGTCAATCCATCGCTCAGGTAGAAATTGATCAGCGGTCTCGCCCCAGAACTCTGGGCTCCGGTTAATTGACTGCGGACACAGCGCGATAGTTGTGCCTTTGGGTATTTTCTTCCCCGCGATCGTCGTTTCACGAATGGCTTCACGGCCTGTCATGGGTACCGTGGGGTATAGGCGAAGTACTTCTTGGCAAACGCCATTGAGGTAGGGCATCCCTTCGAGGTCTTGCCAGGATACCGAGGCGGCTGAGGAAGGTATAGTCTCGCGGATTTCTTGACGCAGTTTATCCTGGATATGTGGCTCTATACAAAGATGATAGCAACACCAGGTAAATGCACCGGCCGTAGTTTCATGCTGTAGCGAATGTTAGCTTTCAATGGTCTCATTTGGTGGTGACAATACAAGAGAGCATACCCCCGCCGCAAGGAACGTAAGCATCTGGTCCACGAGCTCGCTGTCGCTAAACTCCCCGCCTCGCATCATCGTGCCTAAGATATCGCCGTCGGCAGCTTCCTGTTCATTCTTCTCAGATTGAAGCAGCTTGCGCTTTTCACGAAGAATATCGTGAAATACCTGCCGCAAATATCTCACATTGCGCGGGAGCACAATATTAGCCTTGCAAGGAATCAATTTCACCAGCCACTGCGGCAGTAGCAGCGAAGCACCAAAAAGCAAAATCAGGTCTGGAGATGGTTTCAAGATAGCAGAATAGTTCTGTGAAACTGGATCATTCTCATTCTCCAATGATTGAAAGTCCCGGCCAATAGCAGCAGGACCTATAATATCCAAAGTCAATCGACTATGACAAACCTGACATTAGCCATCTGGTTCAGATCGTGTTCAAGGATTATTACTCACTTAGCCCATCCGCCAATCTCAACAAACCCGGCAACTTCGGCATGGTGCACCCCGGCAACAGGATGAAGTCTAATCTCCTTCTCTAGCTGACTCAACAAGAGCTGCGTCTTCGTCCACATAAGCGGATACATAGCGCGAATATTCTTTATGGTGAATGCAGGAGTGACAGCCTTCCGCTGTGCACGATGGGCATCACCTTCAGAGAGAATAAGCCCATATCCCAACCCACGAGCTAGAAACTCCCGCCCGCCTGGTGGCTTGACGAAATCGTAGCTGTTCGTGTGTAAGACATCCATCAAGGCCCGGTGGTTGGTCGCTAGCAAAAAGCTATAGTTTAAAGCTTCGCGGAAGTGGATAAGGCCTTCGTTTGGGATTGTTCGGAGCCAGTCTACGGTTATGCTACCGCGAGGGTGGAGCATGAAGACTTTTGCTCCGATCAGAGGGCCCTATTGGATGTTTGTTAGTCGTCTCCAATAGAGACAGGGTTGAAGAGGAGCTGATACCCGGACGGTAGGCAAGTGCCTCAGGGGGTTGACGAAGAATGGCCATATAAAAATCCTCCATATTGCCAGAAGGATAACATTGACTCCAAGGGCATAGAGAAAGATTGCGGCAGGACGCTCTGTAGTCATGCGGGATGCAATAACTACGAGGGTTTCAACCACCGTGGAAGGAATGAGAAGTGTTAGACGTTCTTTAGCAGTAGACATATTGCGTTATCGGTCTCCTAGAGATCAAACTACCAGCTAACTTCCTTGTGAATGCTGCAAATTTATACATTTTCTTCTCACTCACATGTTCTAAAAGAATTGTGCCTACAAACACAACGGACAACATATCTTCCGTCCATTTAAGTTTTGATTATTCAAAGTTCAACTGAGTCAAGATGTTACGATGTCGAATCTCACATGAACGCCAAACCTGTCGATCGTGTAAAAGGCGGGGAATATCCTTAGCGCGTCTCAACAGATTTGCGGCTAACGTGAAAGATCGTGTCATTGCCTGAAATGATCTAGTGGACCGGAATATTCACATGCATCTGGAGAAGCCGGGGAACCATGCGACGCTTTACCATTTTCGGCATGCAGGGCGAGCGAACCAGATACGCCTGTTTTGACATCTGAGCACCCTAATGTGGGGTAATCTACGTGACCAATAGGGGAGTCTGTGTCTTGACTACATCATTTTGATTAGATATATGGTCTATTCTGTTTGAGAATATTTTAAGAATAACAGATGTTTGGTGTTGACACACCATAGATCACAAATTGCACCGACGAATTGCGGAAATGAGGAGAAATGTCTCTCCCGTTAGATAGGAATTTCCGCTGGGAAGCTTTGGCCTGTACTTTGGAATCTAAGTAGCAGGAGATCTTCAGTTGCTGAGAAGAATCTGACCTCATACCCACCAAGCAGATCGCTCGCTACCATGGTTGTGATCCAGAATTTGAGCCTTTGAACCAAAGTGTGTGATATAATGCGGTCACAAAAATTCTAATTATTAGAAGATTGGCGTGCGTGAATGTGATTAATTGTCTATGGCGGCTTAAAACGCTTGACTTGGCAGAAATATTGTCAAATAATACCTCAGAGGACAGTAAGAAGGAAATCAAATATGCAGAATGAAAGATGGATAGGGGCCATTTATTTCCCTAGGCTAATCAATATTAAGAAAGTGTTGAGAATCAACGAAGATGTCCGGGCTATAAGCACAATGCACCCATCAAAACACCCACAAGACTAACCGGAACCAGGAAAGAGCAGTAAAGACCAACTAGAGACCGACCAGACTCAGCATCCTTTTCAACTCCTGTTTTCGGATACGAAATGTCGTTCTCTGTCGTCACCAATCTGTCCTCTCTCGAGTAATAAACTGGATGTTTGAACAAATGCGCAACAGGTACCCAATTATTGAATATCACCAGAAAGAACAAGTGTAGCAGGGGTGGCCAGGCGACAGTGGTGAGAAGTCTGGTGACAATGTCTCCATCACAGTAGACGGCCATCTGCATCGCGATCACGAATGCAGCCAAGCTCGCAATGAACAAGCCAACATTGAACAAAATGCCACTGTCACTTTGAAGGACATCCCTGTATGCCTTTCTCAGGGGAGATATTGATGTAGCGTTTTCACTGGAATTGGCTGTGCTGCCAGTGACGAAGGAACCCTTTGGTTTGCTTCCGAAAAGTTGGAATCGTATGACGGCATACAGATGAGCTGTAAAAGATGTCGTTAGAATTTAGGTATCATTCATAAAGTGAAAAGAACTTACCACCAGCCAGCCAGCTATTCTCAGCATGTGCAAATGGTGCAAATGGAACACCAGCATGCGCACTCCGCAACCAGTCATATGCCCAAATAGACGCAACATGAATCGTAGCGAGAATAATCTGGACTTTGACCTGCAATGTTGATCCAGCAGGGATCAAACCATGCCCCGAAACCAATAGGAAAGGCAGAGCGACATAGCCAATCATATAGCAAACCAATCCTGCAATAATAGACAATCCGCCAATAGCGATATCCCACCGCAACTTCTCCGGAACCCCCTTACTAGCCGATGGAAACAGCACAGAGATCTGCTGAGAGTGACCAATATGCCATCGGTTACGCTGCTTAACGTGTCCAGCAAGGGAAGTAGGAACAAGTCCAAACTGCAGCACTTCTTGCACCTGCATCGTGCGCTTTCCTAGTCCTCGCAGGATCAGAGAAAGTTGCCAGTCCTCCGAGAAAGAGTAGGTCGGGTATCCGCCAGCATCGAGGATGGCGTCGCGCCGGAAAACCGCACCGGAGCCTGCATCCAGGGCATGGCCGAGAAGATTGAGTTCTGTATTCTCACATGTGTAGAAGTAAGCCCGTGACTGCGAGAGAGGATCGCCGTTGGGCAGATTGTAGAAATATTGTCTCGTGGTCAGCAATGCTGCCTCTGGGTCCAGGAGTAGATGTGGCAGCGTTGCTCTCAGGAACTCAGGCATGAGGATTGAGTCTGCGTCGACGACTGTGCAGAATTCAGGTGGGTGCTCGGTTTGAAGAGAGAATAGGGCGTAGTTGAGGTTTCCTGCTTTTGCGAAGGATTTGCCAGATTGCTTGCCACGGGTGTGGTAGTGGAGGTGGCTCCATTTGAGGTGAAGCTTGGTGATTGCGTCCTGTAACTCGGTTGATGCTCCGTCATCTAGAACTCGGACTCGGAGAAGAGAGGTGGGATAGTCCAAGGCACAGGCTGCTCGCACTGTATCTAGGATGATGTCGGCTGGTTCGCCACAGCAAGTAATCAAAACATCGACCCGGGGTAGGTTTTCGCTACTACGCAACCTTAGCCTTTTTTGAGAATTCTGCTCTAATGGCTTTGTCGCTGCCGCGGACAATTGGTGATGATGGTGCGACATATCTGACTTGATTAGTATTTCCTAATTACTGTTTCTGCAGTGAATACTCACAAGCAAATAAGCCTTCCACAGAAAACATAGCCCACATCTTCCATGTTCGCTCTGGCGTCGTCACCATAAAGAAAAGCCGACCTGCGAAGTAGATGTATGCCGCCCATAGTGCAGTTTGTGATGCGAACCGCAGATACTTTCGATAGCGCTTGCCAGCCAGAGTTCGTTCATCAGGGGCAAGCTCCTGGATATCGTGAAGGTGGTCAGGAGACATTGAAGCGAAATTGATTCACAAAATAGAACCGCTGTTCAATGGTGCGGTTGTGCTTCCTATTCATATTCCAAATCCCTCTTTGTTGTAGAATAAGACCTTGAGACAATGATTTTAACAAGCAAGTCCAATGTCTCGAAATGCGAACCTAAATGAGCCCGAAATTTTTCAAGACCAAAATTAAGGGGTATAAATGCATTTAGGTCTATCTAACTACAAGCAGATCAGTCAAGCTCCACTTTTATTCTAGAACTTACTCTGTCTATTTATACTATTTACACCAATTGAAGCGAGAACCAATTGCCACTCAGTTTTCTACACCGTTTTATGCCACTAGCGCGCTCTATTTGGCATTTTCCAAGTGGGTCAACCTCCTCAACATCCGATTGGATCATTCACTATGGAAATCCCGATGCATTTTGTCTGACTGGGGATTTGATTTTGACGGATTTGCTTTTCTTTCATCTGTGTCCCTATAAACCCCATGATTTCATTCTTGTTTCTGACCGCTCTCCTCACAGAGGTAAACACCATCAAATCCTCTTCAAAAGATCAACTTCAGGCATAACCCCCGCATTCTCAAAAGAGCGATAGGTTTCAATCCAGGTATCAAAAGTGGAATCATTCCGATGCCAGCCAAATTCCCTCGCCTTGTTCATAGACGAAATTGTCAACCAGGACTTGCCAGTGGCCCAATTGAAGAACCCCCAGGTTCCCCAATCAAACGCCTCGGCTTTACCGCCGTACCTGGCAACAACGCGTTCCCACACTTCACGCTTGTCTTTCGCCCATTCCACCATATCGATTTCATTGGATAGAGTCTTAGCTTGCCCGGCCGCCTTTTGAAAGTTGGGCTCTGGAACCTGTTTTCAGTTTATATTAGAATGGGCATTCATACAAGGAGCACTGGACCATGGGCAGTATGTGGGTTGTAACAAACCTCAAGACCAAAGTAAGCAGCAAAATCCTTCCAGATGTACTTCCAAACAAAAACATCGCCATTCACATGGTTGAATGCCTCATCCTTGCAGTGATCCTGCGATGCAGTCCAAACAGACAGATCGGCTAGACTGGGGGCGTAGGAGTTGTCATCGATAGAGTTCCAGAAGTATTCATTCCCGGGAAAGTTGGCAGGCTGGCCCAATTCACGGCAGATCAACATGTAGATTGCGATGGTTAGGACTTCCGACATGCCGTTTGCTAGTAAACGAGCGGCAATTGTTAGCATGAAAAAAAAAAGGAGAAAGAAAGAAAGAAATAAATAAATAAACAGTACGGGATACCTACCATGCGGCGCAAACCCATTAATAGCATTAGGCCGAATAACATTCCACCCCCAAGTCCCTCTCCTCTTCTGAACCTCTCGCAGATAATCCTCCTGGTTATAATAAAAGTTGAACCCTTGATCATCATAGCGAGCGAAGGATTCCTCAAGGGGAACCTTCACAGGACCAAGGTGGACACCGTAGTACTGCGTTGTCTTGGTTAGCACAATAACTTACATCTTCCATACTCCAGTATAGAGATGATGACTCACCTTCCCACCAGTTTGGAGCGAAACCCGCACCAACTTGGGACAAACAGCATCAACGGAATCAATGAAATTCCGGAAAAGAGGGACATTGCGTTCACGCAAGAGCTTGAAATCATCGCTGTGGACGTACGACGTGAAGAAAGCGTGCGTTACATCAGCGCAGATGTCTTTGAGCGTTTCCATGATCTTCTCAACTGGTTCGAGGAAGTCTACTGCAACGAATTTGACACGCGGGTCGATCCAGGCGTTTGGGAGGGGTCGTCTGGAAGTGACGATAATTTTGGCCCTGGTTATTCGTTAGTCAACAGCACGAAGCGGATTACTTCTTTTGGGTTTACTTACCATTCCTCCTTAGGCTGCCGAACGAGGTGTTCAATGATATTGAAGCCACTGATTCCATTGGCGCCCGTGACGAAGGCAACTTTCTTGGTTGGTGGTGCGCCCATGTTTGCTTGAGTTGATCTGATCCTGTTGATCAATGCGGGGGTTTATGGTACAGCCACTTGAGAACAAGGACCATCGAGGTGGTCTATATAGGCCCATGGAATCCGGCTATAACGGCTCCGAGCCCTAGGTGGGTTAAATTGCAGTGGAGTTCATGAGCTGCGGGGCGGCTGCTGTACACCTGTACCTACAGTATGTCACAGCGTTGATGGAACTCGCATGGGAAATTCGGCGCTGAGTATTTCGATCGGCTTGCCGTTCGGCTCGGCAGGTTGCTACATGAACTCCGCGGTGTAAAACATTCCGTAGACTATGATAACCATCATTGCTGTAAAACAAACTTGGCAGGTCGGATCAGTTGGGTAAGGGGAGGTGATGATCATTGTGGGCCTTGAAGATCTTGACGGAATCTTGACGGAATCTTGGTTGTTGGATGAGAAATGCCGCTAAGATTCCGTATTCACTCTTCAGATCGGAATCCAAATTAACCACTAGAAACAAGGGATATTGAATAAGAAATATGGAAGAACATATGCCAAAGTATGTACAATGAATCTAAGGGAAATGCTTATATACCGCTAAAAGTAATCAAAATGCAAATATATGCATATATGCAAATAATCACCACTCTAACCGATCATCACAAACTAGCTTAACATCAAACCTCTCCAATCCCCTCCAAACTCTCGAACCAGAGTTACAAGAAGCGACAATATCCCTGAGATCACTGATCATGCCACCAGGCCCACTAGCAAAAACACTAGTCGGACCACGCACCGTCTCCTCAAGGAAAGAGTTAACAAGCACAGGCAAATTAGGATGTCTATTAACATCTTCGGCTGCACCACCAAGCCGCTCAATGGCAGTTGGTTTGTCACATCCGCAACAGCCAGACTCGGACGACGAAGAAGGCGAGACCTGCACGGCCTTCTCGTCAACCTCGACCTTAGCTGGGCTGACAGCAACGGATAGATTGCAATTCTCCGAGTCGTCTAGCGAGGGAGTCTTGCTACTTGAGTCTCGCGTAGCGAATATTTTAATCTCAAGATTCAATTCTTTCCGTACTTTTTGGAGGCTATCCAATTCAGCGCTGATCCACTCTGTATTTGATGAGTGGCGAATGGCCCAGATCAGTTCGACCTTGCGGTCTGCGGAGCGGGGTTGTTGTGCCAGTTCCAGGAGGACAGGGAGGACATAGGTGATCCCCGTTCCACCGGCAACGCAGAGGATATTTGTGTTTGGTGTTAAGGAGGTGGTGATCTCTTCGCCGTAGGCGCCTGTTAGGATGATAGGCATAGTGGTGTTACCCTTTGCGGCGAGGGCGGCGACCTTTTTCGTTTCCCCGCCTTTGGCACGGAGGAGATAGGTGTGTTTCACTGTGCCCTTCGAGACGGTTGGGAGGTTGAGCGGCGTGAAGGGGTGGGATTGCCAGATGCTGCATTGCGTGAAGCATAGGTAGTAGTGTTGGCCGATGGCCCAGGGGTCTTGGTTGTTGTCCAAGTCGAGGCGGATGACGTCGCCGTGTTCCTCGTCTGGGAAGCGGGTGATTGTTGCGTCTGCGGCTTTGAAGCCGAGACCCAGCGTGCTGGAGTGTTCGGGGTGGTAATGGAGGATGGCGGTTCGGACCAACCGAGCGCCGCGGTCGAGGAACCAGAAGATCAGAGATGGCCAGAGGAAACACTTTAGCTGTTTCCAGTGGCCCCAGCATGCGCCGATGTAGACCATCGCGAGGATGTAGTGTAACTTGCGGAAGGTCTCGTAGCCGGTGAGCCTGATTCCCCAGGGGGTGCTGAGTGCGAAGAGCAGGAGCAAGAGGATCATGGCGACGATGCCCCAAACCATGTAGGTCTGTTTGACCCACTCGAGGCCAACGGATGGCTGGGGTTGGTAGAGCCGGAGCTCGACTACACACCAGCCGATTGTGTGGAGGGAGCTCTGCAGGAAAATGATGTAACCGAGCCAGCGGTGCATGAAGTTGAAGCTCTGGTATGGCAGGCCAGTGATAAGAGAAAGGAAAGACTCCCGACTGCTCAGCAGGACGGAGAGTGGAGTAAGGGCGTAGGCTAGGGTGCCTACACGGTCTGACCATGGACCGATGCTGTTGCGGGTGTTGTATACCCCGGGCATATCCGACACGGGGGTAACCCAGGTGTTATATACGATGCCCACAAAGCTGAAAATGAGTAGGTATCCCGCTAGCAGGGCGAGAATGAGCACCTGCAGACGGGTAGTCCGTCCAAAAATCATCCGAGCCGCATCAGGGAGAAGATATCTCCGGGTGAATGATGAAGCAGCTCGCTGGACTTTTGATAGTCCGACTGGCGCTGGTGTAGCCATCGCTGGTGACATTGGTGTGCCAAATTGCTTCAGAACAACCCAACTGAGAAGAATCGCCCCAATCACACACCACATGATGCCGGAGTAGAGCATTCCCCGGTCATGGGAGTAATAGACATCATCTAAATAGGCACATGAGCCTGCGTCGTTTGTGCAGGGCAGCGCCCGGTCGTAATATCCCCAATGGGGCTCCAACGACGTGGCGGCGCTCATATTTTGGATGTGGCGAGCACCCAATTTGGGGAACGTCATCTTGTATATAGCCCAAGGACTAAGCCAGGGTAGATGTCAATGGAACAAATCTCTCTAGGGCGAAATTGAGATATCCGTCACAGCTTAACAGGTCATGGCGAGTTGTATGAAAGTGGAATTTGAAGATGGCAATTCTCCGGGGAAGTCAACGGTCTTTTAGCGATTACCAAAGCCATCAAAGCATGCCAAAGTGGCCATTTCGCACCTGAGGCGATTTGAGCACATTTCTCTAACGCCATCTTGGTCGACTCCACTTGGTGGGGGCGCGATCAGGTCAGATATAAGGTCGAGGGACAAGCACAACTTGATATAGACATCTCTATACACCTCTCTGTATACATCCCTCCCTATACCCTCGACATCAACAGCCATGGAGGGCATGGATATGGGATCCAGCAGCGCCGACTGCAAAATCTCCGTAAGTGCCAAGACCACATGTCCGGAACAATTCGCTTACTTATCCAGATGCTGTTCAATTTCAACACGATCGACGCCTGTTTCCTGTCAACGGGATGGCAGATCAAGAACAATGGCATGTTCGCTGCAACATGCATAGGCACAATCCTGCTGGTAGTGCTGGTTGAGTTCTGTCGCCGCATTGGACGCGAATACGACAACTTCCTGACGCGCCAGTTTCAACGCCAAGCCGCGCACGGCACACTTGCCAAGACCTGGTCGTCGAGGCGGGCAATTACTTTTCGCGCCACGCCATTGCAGCAATTGACCCGCTCGGTTATTCATGCTGTGACTTTTGCCGGAGCCTATATTACTATGTTGCTGGCAATGTACTTCAATGTGTATGTGATTATCTGCATCTTCATTGGGGCGGGGCTGGGCAAGTTTTTATGTGATTGGATGGTGGTCACAGTGGGTTTGGATGACGTGCAGGATGAAACGCGAAAATTGGAGGAGACGACAATATGCTGTGATTAGCCTGAAACTTATATGATAATTGCATTTGATACCACTCATTTCCTTAGCACAAGGTGAGACATTATTTGTTAGTTCTAAAAAAGAAGGCGAAATAAATGTAAAATGAAAAGAGAAGTAAATGCAAACAAAGATGACAAGATGAGACATACCAGCAATATAGACCAACGCTGTTATTTGACACCTGACCTGACTCAGCCCTACCACTTGCTGCATTTACAGCGATATTGAATGAACCGGTCTCTGGGAAAGATCTAATCTATAATTGGATGAAGTGTAAAAGAATAATGACTGTTATAGATGATTTTCAACCTTGAAATACAATGTTCAGATTAAATTATATGACTTAGTCCGCTTTCTCGACCCTACATCGGTTTTCTAACAAGCTCGTTGCACATCAAGCCATAAGACTGATTAGGGTATAATACCTAATCAGCCTATCTCATCAAGAACATTCCCTTGGTGGCACATAGTGATGTAGAACTAGCGTTCGCGAGGTTCGTGTTATGCATGACGGCCTTGCACGTCTGGTAGGACTAGCGAGACTAGTCAGTTCTGTAACGTGGCCTTTCGTAAACTATAGGCAATCCCAGAAGGGTTTCCGAAAGACAATTATATTTATATCTTTCTGGAACTAAGTAGCGCAGCTCAATCCGATTAACAAAGAAGAAATCAAGTACTCACCCTTATTAGCAGATAGGCTTCTAGGAAATGGCGGATCCCTTTTACTTTCTGAAACGATGAAGTCGCGACGAAAGCAAGTATGATCAGGAGGAACTCGCGTTACGGGAAGGTCAGACTCTAGGCCACTCTGATAGGCAGCGAAAAATGCGGGGTGATCTTTGGCTCGTTCGAGAAACCTAACGTGAGGATCTTCGTAGCCGTGCTTTATCTGGCGCTTCTTCCAATGGTTTTTCAATGCCTTCATATCGTTGAAGCCTTCGTAGCAGTCGCGGGATGGGCAAACATAGTTAATCTTTGATTTTTCCATGATCTCCCTAGAGAGAGCCATTTGCTGTTGTAGGCGCGCATTTTCGGCCTCAAGCCTTGCCATTCGTTCAAAAGTTACTCCATGATCTAGAGAAAGGGATGTGGTGGGCTTTATAATAAGAAACACGAAACCAGCACTGACGACAGTCGGCGCTTCGACCCACACAGTCTGTCCGATCTCCAATCTATGCTGGCCGATCATCCGTTTACTGTGTATGTTTTCTGTAAGAAGAGCCGTGTAGGTAGCTCCAGCATAGTTATATGGTGTTTTCGTCTCCTTCGTAGTTCGAATGATAGCATAGTCGGCGCACTTTAGCCATCTCTTAGCTCGGTCGATTGCAAAGTGGGACGATTATACTTACTCCTTGATAAACAAGTCTCCGGAGTTCCGCGGTGGACTGGTCCATGTGGTTCACTTTTAGCTCAATGACTCCATGAGCAGGGTCTCCTAAAGTATTCCCAAGCAGCCAAGAGCGCATGCCGGGAATCAAATTGCGGATCAAATCCACGTTTGCGTTTGGGACATGTCGAACCAGCCCGACGGGATCCATTATAATACCGAATAAATAAACACTTTTGTTTAACGATCGCTGCTGATGCACTGGCGACTACCCCACCTAACTTTTGGATGAGTAAGCATTTCTTTTGGCAGGGATAATGAAGTTTTGATCCCCTGTTTGTATGTATCCACCTGCTCTGGGTCGATTCGGCCGATAGTGAAGCCCAACAACTCCACCCACTTGACAAATTGTGTCTACGTTCTCTTAAGGACGATAGAATCAAGTCGTGGGGATCTATCTTAAATACATGGCAGCACTTGCTTCTTGTAATCTTCTGTATTTCATTATCATTATTAGCTTTTCACCAGAGGAACGCATCGTTAAATTAGTCATGTTGGCTGCTCTAATGCGCCCTAGATCACAGCCTCGCGTCGGGCGCCGAACTTACCCCTCTTTATCTCGGTGGAACAGCCCAACCTTTTTTTAAATTCCGAATCAGAATATTAACACTCGAGCCGACATTACCTGACCTATATAGATCAAACGCTTTTGTGCCGTGTCTTTTCAAATGGATGGTTTATCCTCGGCGGCGAGCGTTATCGCGGTCATTCAACTAACGGGAAGCCTCGTGAAGCTTTGCGGGCGCTACATTCAAGAGGTGAAAGATGCACGAGATGAAATTTTTGCTCTACAACGGTCGATTGCAGGCCTCCATGGGGCACTTCAAGACCTGCAGAAATTCCTTCAAAATAACGACGGAAAGACCCTATCTACCTCCACACGCCTAGTCAGTAATATTACCGATTGCCTCTCCGACCTCCGAGCCTTAGAAGCGAGACTTGATCTAGGAAAGGGAAAGAAGCTTATGAGGAAAGTGGGGTTCCGAGCCTTCAAGTGGCCCCTTAAACGCACAGAGGTAGAGGGCGTTACTCAGAACCTCGAGAAATATAAATCTTTATTCCTCTTGTCTTTACAGGTGGATCAGAGGTACGTTTATCGAGCGCGATTATATGACTCTATATCATAGACTCAAAGACTGCATAGTTCTCTAATGGTCGACATGGTCCACAATACCGATCGTATTAATCAACATATGGATCTTGATAAGTTAGGAGGCGCGATAGAGGCAGCGTTTGAGTCATTCTCCGATCGAAACGAAGTCCAATGTCTCCAAGGCACTAGGACTAAGCTACTCCAGCAGATAATGGAATGGACTATTTCGCCGTCCCAAAATAGCATTTTCTGGTTAAAGGGAATGGCTGGAACTGGAAAATCCACAATATCTCGGACTGTGGCAAGGTCGCTTAAGGACACCAACCAACTAGGTGCTAGCTTCTTCTTTAAAAGGGGTGAAGGGGACCGAGGGAACGCGAAGAAGTTTTTCCCGACACTAATAAGGCAACTACTGCTTAGGATCTCTGAGCTAAGGTCTAGTGTGCAAAAGGCACTCGATCATGACCCGACAATTGCCTCGAAATCGCTTGGAGAGCAGTTTGATAAACTACTCCTTCGACCGTTGCTCGATCTTGACCAACGCGGCCAGCAACCTCAAACAGCTATAATAGTGATTGACGCTCTAGACGAATGTGACCATGACGAAGATATACGAAACATAATCCTCCTGCTGTCTCGTCTACAGGAGGCAAAAGCGGTTCGCATTCGGGTCTTCTTGACTAGCAGGCCTGAACTTCCGATTAACTTCGGGTTTTCAAAAATCGCAGATCATGATTACCAGGACCTAGCTCTTCATGAGGTACCCGCAGAAGTGACAGAACATGATATACATTTGTTCCTACAAGATCGATTTGCGAAGATCAAAAACGACAGAAATATTTCCGGAGTCTGGCCTGGCGATAACATCATCCAAGAATTGGTCACGATGTCCGTTCCACTGTTTATCTCAGCTGCCACTGTGTGTCGTTATATCGAAAATTCAAAATGGGAACCCAAATTGCGCCTCGCAGAGCTTCTATCGGACCAAGCCAAATATGTATCAAGAATGGATAAGACGTATCTGCCAATCCTGACGCGACTGCTCCACGATCAAGAGGGTGAATCGGAGCATGAGTCGGAGCAGCACCAGCTCCTGCAAGAGTTCCATGACATAGTCGGTACCATCATCCTTCTTGCTGATCCACTTTCTATAAATGCACTTTCACTATTTCTTGGGATAGGAGCAGACCAGATCAGCAATCGATTAGAGTCATTCCGATCGGTGTTAAGCATTCCTAGTGACTGCGATAAGCCTGTTAGGACTCTACACCTATCATTTCGGAATTTTTGGTCCAGTCTAGGACCAAATTTTTTGTTGATGAGCCAACAAAGCACAAAGACCTTGCTAAGTTGTGTCTTAAGACTATGCGGAATCGTCTACAGAAAGATATCTGCCATCTAGCCGGCTTTGGAACGCGTAGAGCAGACATTGACCTCGAACATATCCGCCAGTATCTACCCCCGGAATTACAATACTCTTGTCGATACTGGATACATCATCTCGAACAAAGTCGGGCTTTATCTTCCGAGATAGAAGATGTGCTACTATTCCTCCAGAAGCATTTTCTCCACTGGGTGGAGGCGATGAGTCTGCTGGATCTTATATCGGAGGTAGTGGGTATGCTTGATCACTTCCGCACATTCATACCGGTAAGTAAGATAATAGACGGTCACTCATGGTTTATACTAATAGAAATAGGGCGACGACAATTCCGTAATGTCTGATTTTCTGCATGATGCAAAGCGCTTTGTTCTGAAAAATCGCCAGATAGCCGATGAAGCACCGCTTCAAATCTATTGTGCAGGGCTGGTATTTGCACCTCGAACGGCAATAATCCGTAGAGAGTTCCAGTCGGAGCTTCCTAGTTGGATATGCCAGTTCCCAAAAGTTAATGAAACCTGGAGTGCAGAATTACAGGCTCTCGAGGGCCATACAAGCCCGGTTTTTTCGGTGGCATTCTCATCCGGCGGCCAGCTTCTGGCGTCCGGCTCTAGTGATAACACAGTGCGGCTGTGGGACACGGTAACGGGAGGCCTGCAGCGGACCCTCAAGGGCCATACAAGCCCGGTTTTTTCGGTGGCCTTCTCGTCCGGCGGCCAGCTTCTGGCGTCCGGCTCTAGTGATAACACAGTGCGGCTGTGGGATACGGTAACGGGAGGCCTACAGCGGACCCTCAAGGGCCATATAGACTGGGTTAAGTCAGTGGCATTCTCGCCCGACGGCGGGCTGCTGGCGTCCGGCTCTAGTGATAACACAGTGCGGCTGTGGGACACGGTAACGGGCGACCTACAGCAGACTCTTAAAGGCCATATAGGCTGGGTTGAGTCAGTGGCATTCTCGCCCGACGGCCTGTTGGTAGCGTCCGGCTCTTTTGACCAAACAATACGCCTGTGGGACCTGGCAACTGGCAAGCTCCAGTCTGTTTTGGATCTGGAAGATCATTCTAATCGGGTGCGATCGGCAGCCTTCCCTCACGACGGCAGGCTGCTGGCGCCTGGCTCTTTTGACCAAACAATGAACCTATGTGACCCTGCAACTGGCAACTTCCAGTCGATTCTGGAGTCTAGTTGGGTGCGGTCGGTGGCCTTCTCTCACGATGGCCGGCTCCTGGCGTCTGGGTATCAAGATAACATAGTGCGGCTATGGGACCCGGCAACCGGTAAACTCCAGCAGACTTTCGAGGGCCATTCAGATTGTTTTAGCTCAGTTACTTTCTCGTCAGATGATATACTGCTAGCTTCTAGCACCACTAGGGGCACAGTACATATCTGGAACCCTGCGATGGAGGCCCTGGAGCAAACACTCGAGGGCCATTCAAGCTGTATTACTTCGGTGGCCTTCTCGTCTAAAGACCGGCTTCTGGCTTCTGGATCCAGTGATTGCACAGTGCGGCTCTGGGACCTGGCGACCGGCGTATTCCGGCAGGATTACGAAGGCCATGAAGAAACGGTTCAAACAGTGGCCTTCTCGCCTAATGGGCAGCTGCTAGCGTCCGGCTCTTTTGATCACACAGTACGGCTGTGGGACACGGCGACGGGTACTCTCAAACAGACATTCGTGGGCCATACAGATTCGGTTGAGTCGGTGGCCTTTTCGTCTGACGGTCAGCTGTTAGCATCCGGCTCTGATGATAGGACGATACGTATTTGGGACCTGGCAACCGTCAAACTCCATCAAACTTTTGACAGCCATTCAGACTCAGTGCTTTCAGTAGCATTTTCACCCGACAGCCGGCTTCTAGCGTCCGGTTCCAGTGATGGGGTAATGAGGCTGTGGGACACAGCGACGGGCGCCTTACAGCAAACCTTCGGTACAGAGGGAAGGGTTACTGAACTTGAATTCTCTCAAGATGGTTTACATCTCAGCACCAACCTTGGATCGTTTCATATCCAATCTAAGTGTAAGAGTCCTCTCTCTAGTTCGCCCAAGACCAACCCAGAGGCCATTGTGGTGCAACGGGACTGGATAATCTTGAACGGAAAACAAGTACTATGGCTTCCTCCTGAGGTTCGACCGTCGTGTTCGGCAATTAAAACCAATAAGATTGCCCTGGGACACGCTTCGGGTCGGATTTTCTTCATAGTATTCCAGGTATGAGAGGCTTTGATTACTTTTCATTTTCTTCCTGCCTCAACGGTGGTTTCTGACCCCTTGGCAAAAGGAGGGCCTGGGGTTACGGCCAACCCGTTTTAGACTTGTTTCTGTCGTAAAACATATTATATGCTTTCCCTAAATTCCAGTATAGTGACGGGTCTACGTAGGTGAGCTAGGCACTTCTTGAACAACGTACCATGTAGAATCCTCGGGTTTCTTGAACTTCTCCGTGGATATCTAGTCAAACTGATTTCCGTTAACACAAGAGTGACGAGACTTATATCAACTTACATGGCCCGGAATCAAAGCTCGAAGCTTTACTTTTTACCACTCGTGTCATAGCGGCCGAAATAGATATTTGAATAGTATAACGATCCATAGAATTTGAATTTTGATCGATTGATTTTATGTTTACACAGAAACCAGTGCAAATTTGTACTTCAGGACTTGTTAGTGGGGATATTCGCCCAGCCGTGATGCTCAAATATTCCGCCTGCTGGTTCGCACTTAATTTATGAACTAGCGTCTTGGCGGTGGAGCCCAGAATGGATGTAAGAGTGCAAATTGGTGAAGCTGGTTTTGCACTACTCTGTATCGTTGATTACTTTGAAGCAAATATAGAAGAAACTAAAGACTGTACTAAGTTATATCTAGAACCGTCTTACCAAATAATAAGCGAACATTTCAGCAATAGAGGAAATGATAGGAACGTCGGCGCTCGAGGATTCTACTATGTCTCAGGCTCTGGCGCGGGCGATCTCTCACATTTCCATTATGACCGAAATTTATTGACTATGCCTGTTGCTATCTCACAGATCACTCCGACCACTCCGAGAGTTTCCATCTGCATTCCGTTGCATTACAAAAGGCGTGCCAAGCCACCATTGCCGACCCGCATCAACCGCATGGACCTGCATCGCGCTGATAAGCCGAGCAAGAGATACTCGCTAGTTGTTATCTGTGCCTGCATCCCCGCATATCTTGTCTGCAATGGGTAATTGACCTATGCCAAGGCCCCGGAATCGAGTGTCGGCGTTCTAATAATGACCGTTGACCCCGGATGTACCCCGGCCCTGAGATAACAAACAAACGTCGCTTTATTCCGCTGATAGCGGTCAAATCTCCGCTTTGATAGGGGATATCTAGAACATCTCAAAGCTTGATAGCTTGATCGGACGAATCCTATTGTTCATCTTGACCCGACAAACGCGAGCTCGGCCGTGCTGATTTGATCTTTGCACGCCCTTTGTGTCTCATTGATATTTTACGTAAAACGCATGCAACTCTCTAATCGCCCACGCTGATGCTGCGGTGGAGGTCACAGTATTGCATGGTGTCTCGGTTGTAGCCTATCTTAACGTTCAATACATACGACCGCACAACTGACATGTTGTTATGAATCATGCGTGGCCTCGCAGATAACGATGAGTGCAGGATATTGAGTGCAATCCGGATATACCGGGACTCAGACAAGGGAATCAAATATATAAAAAGCATGAGATGGCTTTGCAGCACAAGGCACGACAGTTCAAAATACTCATCCTATACTTCCACTGAGCCTCACCATTGCCATAAACGATGAAAGATTACCTACGGCATACCCTGGTGGGATTAGGGCTAACTGGCCTAAGCCTTGCCGGTGTCGTACAAAGAGACATTGAGGTTATACGGTTTCATAGTCCCGGGGGTGTAACTGCCGACTCGTTGCACAACATCCATGTCGAGTTCTTAGATGGCCAATTTGAAGGTCATCTGCAGCTCGTCTACGGAGAATGCGGGATCGAAGATCCGATGCAGAGCCACCATGAGATCGGAAGCACGTTCGTGAAACGTGAAGCACACCCGCAGCGTTTCGTTTGGGCTACACCACCTGACGCACCCCATTCACACTGTCTACATGCTTTCTCCGGATCAAGGCTGATGGGCCGTTCCTCGCCCATTATGGTGTCATCACCGATCAAGAAGCGAGAGAGTATCGCCGATGTGGCAGATGCCATGGGCCCTTGGTTCGATGGAGTTGCCTACATGAAGTCAAAGAAGAACAACAAGGCATTCGTCTCCAAGGCAAAGAGTCACTCTGTTGCCATTCTCGGTGGTGGAATGTCTGGCTTGATGACGAGTCTGCTGCTCGAGTCTGTTGGCATTCATAACTGGCATATCTACGAATCATCTCAACGTGTTGGCGGCCGCATCCGCACGAAGTACCTGAACAACACGACTCCCGACCAGTACCAGTACCAGGAAATGGGTCCCATGCGTTTCCCTGTCAGCATCACATATGCAGATACCAATGACACCCTCGAAATCCAAGATCACCGGATGGTATTCCAATTGGCTGGTGTTCTCAACGAGATGAACAAGCACAAGCCGGAACTTCAAGTCAACTTTATCCCCTGGATCCAGAGTAGCCCCAACGTCCCCGCAGCATCTGGTGGCAACCGTCTACCAAATGGCCAAATTCCCAGTGCTGCTCAGGTTGCTGCCAACTCATCTCTCGTTTACACTGCTGCATCATCAAACGAGACAGCTGCTGCAGAGGCGGAATCTGACTATGAGGACTACACTACCCTTAACGACAGGGAAACCATTCGCAAAATCGCAAACAACATGTACCAAGCTCACAAGCAGGCCGTTGAAGATGGCATGTTCCACTGGTCCGAGGCCGGGTATTTGCGATACGCAATGGGCTACGATGCCAATATCACCGACTATGTTGCTGGCACCACCGACTCTCCAATTTGGGGCGATTTCTACGACGACGTCTACTTCGCAGCAACCAAGTGGCGCACCATTGACAAGGGCTTGGAGTCCTTGCCACGTGCCTTTTACCCTCACGTCGAGGACAAGTTGACTCTTAACCGCACAGTTCAAGGCCTCATTTACAATGAAACCTCTGGAAAGATCGCCGTCGCATGGCGCGATGATCCCCTGCAAATGATCCCGGAAACCAAGGAATACGATTACGCTGTTGTGGCTACACCTTTCAGCAAAGTCAGACTGTGGGATCTCCCCCGGTATTCCTCCCTCCTCAGCCGCGCCATTTCATCACTGAATTACGACCCAGCCTGCAAGATGGCTCTTCTCTACAAGACCCGCTTCTGGGAACATTTGGAAGAGCCCATTTTTGGTGGCTGTGGCTCAGTCGATGTATCAGGCGTCGGAAGCGTTTGCTACCCATCTTATAACATGAACGGCACCGGACCAGGCGTTATCCTGGCCTCGTATATCTCCGGCACACCAGCGCGCTCCACTGCCGCACTTAGCCCCGAAGAACACGTTGCTCTTATTCAGCGCACTATGGTTGAAGTCCACGGTGAGATCGCCGCAGAACAATTTACTGGAATCTATGACCGCCAATGCTGGGAGTTTGACCAGCACCAGGCTGGTGCTTGGGCCGATCCCCTTGTTGGTCAGCAGGAGCTATATTTGCCTGCTTACTATCAGACTGAGTTCAACACTATCTTTATTGGAGAGCATACTAGTTATACGCATGCTTGGATTTTCTCCGCTTTAGACTCTGCTGTTCGTGGTACTACTCAGCTGTTGCTTGATTTGGGTTTGGTTGACGAGGCGAAGTCTATTGTTGAGACTTGGATGGGTCGGTGGATCAAGCTTTGAGGGTTTGATAGAATATATAATATTTAAGGCAGTCGTTACATTAATCACAAGTTCGTTGAACAGTACAATGGGGTTTCATGTTCGATTTTACAGGTCTGCGACACTCACCAATAGATAAAGACGAATATTTTCCTATTGGTCGGTCCCTTGTACAATTCTGAATCGAAAAACTAAAGCTGAACATTCTTTAGAAGGTAGGTGCGCTCGTGATATATAATGGTCATCAAATAGAATTGACATGTCAGGAATGATTTTGTCAAGCGCTAGATTCGTATGTCTCAGAATAGGGAGCCTCCCAAAATATATAAATCCCACCTATCGCCGAGATAGCAAATACAAACAATGGATAGCTCGAGTCCATTGAGATGGAGTTGCTCGTGGGCATGATTAATAGAACAAAGAGCGCCATGGACAGCTTTGTCCCTTGCCCAACAGGGAACCTAGTGGACCCACCCAAAAGGCCATTGTCCAAGACAAAGAGCTGCATGCATTTTTGACGACGCATTTACTTCCTCCATGATATATAAGCAACCTCGATGCCCTGATCATAGTATTCGATATCTCTCATCGAGCACTACTTCTAATTCAAACTCAATGTCCTTCAGGATCCCTCTATTGAAGTCACGGATTCCCCCGAACGGCTTCAAAATGTTGATCCCAAGTATGTTCATATTCTGTCCCACCGGTGATCCCCTTCTTGAACAGTCGAGCCGACGCGGAGCCGTCCACTGGGTCACTGTCACTTTTACTTCGGAGGAGCAGAAACTGGCCGATGTCTTTCTGATGGAAATCATGGAAAAGGCCTGTCGTAACGGACGGGCGATGATTACCTTGTCCCCTTTGCATCACGATGGTCTTAACTGTCTGTCCCTCCCTGTTTACGGTGCTAACCTTTCTGACGCGGAGATCCTTTCCTTTGCCTCACATAATGCTTGGCTGAGGTACAAGGATATCTTGGATGGCTTGGTTCGTATTGACCGGGTCCGTATTTTTGGTGTTGAGAGATAATGGACGGAACTGTTGATGGATGTTAACGATTGGTTTCATTGGGTCTAGTTTCAATGCTTGTTAATTTCGGTTTATAGAATCCCACCTTGTTTTTCTTTTAATGCGATTTGTAAGACCATCAGTAGGGTGGAATTCGCACCAATTAGAGCTGAAAGCATACATAGCATCATTGATACCTAGTCATCATGTGTGCAATGTGCAATAACCTTTTATACTCCACATAAATACCACAGAAAGCCGCAATCTCCCTAAAAGTTCTCTTCGGGAGGGTGGAGTCTTCAGATGTGTACTTCTTGTATCATAACCCTTCGGCATGCGAGTTACAAGGCCAGATTGACATATGTGAATTAATAGCGAAATACTGTAAGCAAAGTAAAACACTTTAAATTTAGAAGATTAAGTATTTCTATATTTTCTTACTGAACAGTGACTTCCAGTGGTGGGCTAACTGGCGGGCCCGTGCATATTGTATATCACGGCTGTTCTTGTGCCCTACTTTGGCCAGCAAGGTACTCCAAGCTAGCATTCCACTTCAGCCACCCTGCTACATCCTCCGCCTAACCCAATGGCAGTAAATAATATATTCGCTATGATCAGAATCCAATGCCAAGGCTTGGCATGCAGATTTCCTTTTTCCTCTCGAAATCCCCCGCTTGGGGGTTTGACATTTTAAAACTGTGGCATTAGTTCGAACGAACATAATGTTCTCAGAGAAGCAGACTACTGTGGTGCAATCCATATCGGAAGATGCCATTGAAGAAGCCGAGCTGTCCTTCCAGTTCACCAAAGAGGAACATGCCCTCAGTTGGTGGGATGCCATGCGCCTGCATTACCCAGCCATTGGCTGGGGACTTTTCATGAATTTGGTCAGTCAGCTCATTCCAAAGATGAACCATTTGTTAACATTTCCAGGCGACTATATTGAAAGGCATCGACGGGGGCATCGTGCGCAGTATAGTGGGTCTTCCCGTCTTCAAAGAGACATACGGCTACAACCACAACGGCAACAACATCATCGCCGCAGAGTGGCTATCAGCCTTCAATTACGCCAACAATATAGGCGCCATTATTGGCGCCCTCTGTTCCGGCATTGCATATGATCGCTTTGGGCCCCGGTGGATGACCGCCGGCTGCTGTGTCATGTCCATCGCATTCATTTTCATCCAATTCTTTAGTCATACGCCGGCTCAGCTATTTGCCGGTCAACTGATCAACGGGTGCATTATTGCATTTTACCCAATCTGTGCCTCGGCCTACGTCGGTGAAGTTACCCCACTAGTGCTGCGCGGGTTCGCAGCCACCATGACCAACCTCGCCTTCTCGATCGGTTCTTTAATTGCCTCGGGTATTCTCAAAGGAACGGAGGCCATGGACAGTCAATGGTCCTACAAGATTCCCATAGCGGCTCAATGGGCTCTTCCGTGCATTATGTTGCTTCTAGTAGCCTTCTGTCCCGATCCGCCCTACTGGTTGTGCCGAAAGGGCCGCCAGGAAGACGCGATGGCGTCTTTGCGCCGTCTTGCAACCCCTTGTGTCGATGTAACAAAAAAATTGGCGCATATTCGGGAAACCTTGCGTCTAGAGAAAAACTATGATGGAGAAAGGCCTACTTATCTCGACTGCTTTCGGGGGACCAACTTCCGCCGTTTGGTAATCTGCGTAATGGCATACGACATGCAGGCATTTACCGGAAACGTGTTTTTCCTCAGCTATGCAGTGCACTTCATGGAGCTAGCCGGATTGGATGCTTCGAATGCTTTTTCGATGAATATCGGTTTGACGGCGCTGGGTCTGCTAGGGACATGCATATCCTGGTTTCTGCTTTCCTATGTCGGCCGAAGAACCATGTATCTCTTTGGCTGTTCCGTGCTGGCCATTGTACTGTTCATCATTGGCATTGTCGACCTCGTCCCGCGGCAGACATCCACCACATGGGCGCAATGTGGTTTGATGTTAGTATGCACCTTCGTGTACGACCTTAGTCTGGGCCCGTTTTGCTATGTGCTACTCGCAGAAGTATCCTCAGCAAAGCTCCGCGGGCTCACTATTGCGCTGTCCACCGTGACATGTTTTGTCTGGTCGGTCGTCTTTGCGGTTGTCATTCCGTATGCTATGAACGAAGACCAAGGAAATTGGCGTGGCAAGATTGGTTTCCTGTTCTCAGGGCTTAGCGTGCTCTGTACTCTCTATTGTTTCTTTTGTTTGCCGGAAACCAAGGGCCGTACGTTTGAGGAGCTGGATATTCTGTTTGAACGTAAGGTGCCCAGCCGAAGGTTTAAAAATTCAAAAGTGGATATAGACGTTGGGGGAGACGCTTGGAGTGATCGGCTTTTAGATTTGTTGCCAGAGATGACACACGTAGACATAGACTAAGCACCACAAAGGCAATAGTATTTTCTGCATATGACAAATCCTTCAAATGTCCAGTGCTCTGCTCATTCGAAAGAATCTACGGAAATTCATCCATGAGTCGATCACGAATACAGATTTCTAATCAGGAACGTTTAAGCTTTGAGACTATTTATAGTTCTGCTCACCGCGAGCTTATATCAATGACCGTCATTTCTATTGTGCAATAATTCACAGTTCTCAAATCTATCAAAGAAAAAACAACGAAAATGTCCCAGTCAAAGATCAAAGCAGTTTTTTTCGACTTCATGGGCACATGTCTTGACTGGCACAGCAGCGTAGTCAAAGCCTTACCTTCAACCATTCCAGGGCAGGAAGCATCCAAGTTTGCCCTCGAATGGCGCAGGCAGTTTTTCCTGGAAATGAACAAACGCTTTTTGCAAGGCCTTCATCTAGAAGATATCGACGAGACACTTGCCCGCACGCTCGAAGTAACCCTTGACCAGCCTCCCGAGCACCGACCCCGCATTGAGGCCGAAACCAAAAAGAAATTAGTCCAAGCATGGCACTCCCAGCCTGCATGGCCAGAGGTTTCAAAGGCAATCAGAAGCCTCCGACAAGATCTCAATCTAGAGGCTTTCGTTCTTGCGAACGGAACTACCCGTCTTCAGCTTGATCTGACGCGGTCTTCAGGGTTAGATTTCAATATGCTTTTCTCTAGTCAGTTGCTGGGATTTTACAAACCCAGCCCAGAAGCATATGAAAAGGCTTTACAACTTGTGAAGCTCAAGCCGGAGGAGGTGGTGTTGGTTGCGGCTCATGCGTATGACTTGCGTGGTGCTCAGAAGTGCGGTTTGAGGACGATTTATGTTCATCGGTGGACTGATGATATTGATGAGGATATGGAGAAGGTGAAAACTGAGTTTGATGTATTTTTGGAGAATATGGATGATCTTCCTGGTGTCATTGAGCGGATGTGATGTAAAAAGAATAGAGTTGTTCATTTTCCCTTGATTTTTATTGATTGTCTGCGAGGAAATGTTATCAAATTGTGAGAAGATTGAAATAAATATTTGTCAATCAGAAAAGGTGAGTTGCGCCGTGCGTGGTAAATATGGTATACTATCGAATAGTTTCTAGCACCCGAGAGGTCAGTTTGCATCCCACTTAAAGGCTACACTATGCTGTGCATAACGCATAAATAGCCTGTTATGCAATTAAGCCTAACATCACCCTAAATGCCGTGCGTGTTCTCAGATCTTCGGTAGAACATAACGCTTTGACATCAGATGAAGATAGCGGAGTAACTCCGTCCTCTCCGGGCTGTGTCCATGATTCCAAATCAATGCAACAAGAAGCAGTCAAGTCAGACTTGAAACACTACCGGGTAATAAGCCAGCAGCCTAGAATACGCGTCATACCAGACCCTCAGTTCCACTCCCCCAATTGTCCTGTCTTGCAACCCAACGCCACCCAGTATCCCTCACCAGGCCCAGCGGAGCTCATTCCGCACAAAGTGCATTCCAGTCTAACAGCCAACTACCGATGGAGCCAAGTCTCGGTCAAGAGGGCCAAGATGTCTTAGAGCAGGCAAGCTTCGCGAAATATACTTTTGGCGCAAGCCAAAGCAGCACTGACAGGTCTGGGCAAGTCTATCGATGGGGGAAATGCAACACTTATAAAGCAATGTTGCAAGTCAAAACCATAAAAGCTAGGTTCCAGCCATATAGCCGACTCGAACACCAAAATCCCTCGGCTTCAACGAGTTTTTGCGGGGGAAAGACAGGGGCGCAGCTCGGTGTCCACTCCCCCGCACAATACTCCCCACGTCAACGTGGACGTGGAGACTCGTTCTGCGAATGATACTGCTCAATTGATGATCTTGCAGGTCTGCCCGATTGGATTTGAAGGAGATTTAGCTTCTTGGCTGGTTCATGGGGGAAAGCCGGGGTTAGGAGGTATGGATTTTGGGGTTGAAAACAAGGAGTGGAGGGAAGATGGAGCTGGATGACGGAGTATAAAGGGTCGTGTGGATCTATATTCTTGATGTTCTCGATTTGAGCTGTGCCTTTGTTCTATTTCATTTTCCACTTCTTATTCTCTCCTCGAGGGATTCAATTAAGCTACGCCTTATCAGCAATCCCCTTGTGTATAATTCCCACCATCAAAATGTCGGACGACAATATTAGTGGAAAACATGAAACGTCTACAGCAGAAATTCTTCATCGCTACCAAACTGCCGACAGTGTACTACTTCCAATCCCACGCGATGCGTTCGAAAAGCTTTACCTAAGCCCGAAGATGCCAAATGCGGGTAAGCTACGCTCCACATTTGGTAACCCGACACCGATATCATTGATGGGTTTCTTGCTGGCTGCGACGCCAACGGCTATGCTTACCATGGGTTGGCGAGGTGCAGGTGGAAATGGTGGTGCAATCCTGTAAGGACCACAACAATTATCGACCAAGAATAAGTTTTAATTTGTTATGTGAACAGTCCGGTTTATATCTTCTTCGGTGCAATGGTACAGATATTCGGAGCAATTGGCGAATGGATTCTGGGGAATACATTTTCCTGTGCACTGTTTTTCACGTACGGTACGTTGAAAGTGTCTGATACAGATACGTCTAAGGGTACCTGCTAACTGGTTCGTCGCAGGCACATTCTGGCTAGTCCAGGGCACTTCACTCATGCCATTCTTTGCCGTGGGAACCAACTACTCCCCGACAGGGAATACCCTAGAGGGCATAGAGTCACCAGAATATAATGCAACAGTTGGTGAGTCAACTCCATCTATAGTGGCAGCATACATCCCCTGCACGAATTTCACTAACACGGATCCATCATAAAGGCTTCTACTACGTGACCCTCGCAATCCTCACATTCGTTTACCTAATCTGCTCCCTTCGAACAAACGTGTGTCTCTTTCTAGCGCTATTTCTCCTTGTCATTACATTTGGATTATTCGCGGGGACATATTTCCAAATGGCACTGGGTAATCTGGAGAATGCTGCGAAATTGCAAAAGGTGCGTTCTTCATCCGAACATTTCTTTGCTATATCCTTCGCGTGTATGACCTAATAGTATTATCTATAGGCCGCTGGTGCATTCAACTTTGCACTCTGCATACCCATCTGGCATATTTTCATTGCGCAAATCCTCGACGCGGTTGATTTCCCTATCGCCTTGCCCGTCGGTGATCTTAGCACAATAATTCTTGGCAAGAGTCAGAAAGCGCGCAAGCGCGAGGTTGAGGGTTGAGGTTTTTCCGTGTGTGGGATCTTGTTAAATTCATTCTGTTTAGTTTGAGAATACAAGTCTGGGCAATTCCAAGTCAAATTCGTAGCTGCAGATGTTCATGCTGTTTAAACTAGTTGTGAGATGACATCACAACCCCACTCACGTGTGAAGATAAATACTGGATTTTCATGCAGGCTGATGTGAGATTGCCTATGGACAAAAGCTCTGAGTGAGAAGGAGCATTTGTAGGTTGGTAAAATAGTCCTAGGAAGAACATTACATTTCCAACACGCGTGTATACAAGCTAGATGGATATACGTGGACCCCAGAAATTTGAATCCCGGCCTGCGCAACATGCAGGCAATAGTCTAACTTGACCCAGCGCAAGGATTATAATATTCTCCTGCTTATTGAACTGGCGATCTAGCGGGTAACAGTCTCAATGAAGAGGGGGAGCAGACGTGGATACATGTACTTGTATGCTCGCGATAACCGACGCATGATTCGTTTGTACTCGTATTGCAGTTTCGGTCTTATTTCGGTCTGTATTTTCCAAATATGGAACACACGCCCAGTTCAAAATACGAAAATGGCTACTGGAATCGACCCCAACCTGCTAGTGAAAGCAGGTGCATTCACAAACAGCAACTATAGCGATGTATACCCAGCCATAGGTCCCACGCGACCTTTCGTCAATAGTTGTATACAGGCATCAACATACGAAAGCTTACTCTTTAGCTAGAGATATAAATAAATCCATCAAACTTACATCCGCAAAAGTAGCTGCCTAAAATCAATTCCGGGGTGAAGATCGGTAGATCGCCAGGATGCCAAGATCAGGATTGGCTTTATTGCTCTGCCACAGCTTTAAGTTTTAGCATGCGTCATTCCTCCCTTCCCCCCTGCACTGCCTGGCGCGTATATCACGCCTCATATTTCCTCCCTTCTTCCCAAGCCCCATGGCACATCCATCGCAACAATGGCCCTCCTAAAAGACTCCCTAACAACAATCTCATCCCTCTCCAAACTCCTCTTTCTCTCCTACATACTCGACTGGATATTTATAATGTAGGCGCCACCAATCCCACCCAATCCTCCTAATCCCAAAACTAACACCGAACCAGCGGCATCGCTCTAATAGGCTATGGCTTCTACAAACAACACCCAAACCGCCACCCCTTCAGCCTCACCGACCCAACAATAAGCTACCCCCTCAGCCCAGAAACTGTAACAATGGAAACCCTCCTCCTAGTCAGCCTCTTCGCACCAGCAGTTCTGGTCTTCCTAATCTGCGCGCTTGTCGTGCCGGGTAGTGCCGCAGCCACCAACCCCAAGTCCTCCGCGGCGCAGATCATCCGTCGCAAGATCTGGGAATGGAATGCCGGATGGATGGGACTGGCGCTTGCGCTTGCGAGTACGTGGTGCGCGACGCAGGGGTTGAAAGCTCTTATTGGGAAGCCGAGGCCTGATTTGATTGCGCGCTGTAATCCGGATTTATCGCTAATTGATAAGTATACGGTTGGAGGGTTGGGTGGGAAGGTTGATGGGGGGCCGGTGCTGGTTTCTTGGGAGATTTGTCGGGATCAGTCGAATAGTTTGAGGATTGATGGGTTTGCTAGTTTTCCGAGTGGGCATGCTTCTTGTGGGTTTTTCTTTTTCCTTTTCTTCTATGCCTTGAGAGGGTGTTGTGATGTGTTTGGGGTTGGATTGGGCTCGATTTGGCTGACTATTGTTTACAGTTGCGTTCTCTGGCTTGCTCTACTTGACTCTCTGGTTATGTTCCAAATTCTCCGTGGGATTCCCTTATCTTCCGCATTATCCTGTTGAAGACCAGAGCTTCGCTGATGATGCCACCTCCGTCCGGAGAAGGGGCGCTGCACCGCCTGTCTATCTCATGCTGATCGCATTCTTTCCGACGGCGACAGCTGCTTTTATTGCTGGGTCACGCTGGTTCAATTACCGGCACCATGGCTTTGATATCCTTTCCGGTTCGGCGGTTGGGATCTTCTTCGCCTGGATCGGGTTCAACATGTACCATCTCCCTATCCGCCGTGGCGCGGGCTGGGCTTGGGGTGCGCGCAGTCGCAGGAGGGCATTCCTGCGTGGTGTTGGATTCCCTAGTTCGCTTGGAACTGACGGCTGGGCGTATACACACAACAGTGACGTCGAGACACACGCCAATGGTCACAGTAATGGCCTCGGCACTGATATCGAGATGGCACCTCGGAGTCGAGATGCGCCGTTTGAAGGCCACGCTAAGCCGGGCAGTAGCTCTGGCAATGGCGCCAGGCTGGAGGAATGAGTGAACGAGTGGTTGTCGAATGAGGGAGGAGGTCATAACATGAGCCTCGGTGCGTCTTGTATCTGATAAGACGTATTGTATAGCGCATAATGAACAACCAATTCATAAACATCATCATCAACGTAGCATCATAACAGCCAGCCAGCCAGCCAGTACCACTCGCAGTAACACTAACCACCGCATCCAACATGCACTCATCGCCAACCCCCAACCCTCCCCTCATCCCACCTAGCCTTAGCCTCCTTTCTCGCAGCCAACTTCGCCGCCTCACCTCTCACCCTCCGAACCCAATCAGCAATCTCCTTCTCCGTCGCACGTCCATGATCATGATGATCCTCATCAAGGAAACTCTCCTCAACAGCACGACAAACAGCCTCCTGCTCAGCGATAGACGCGCTAAACCGCTGATACAAAGCCTTCGGCGACCACGGCGCTAGGGCAGCATCCATCTCGGCTTGTTTCTTGCGCCAGGATACTTCGAGCGATTGGTGTGTAAGGAGCATCGTCTCTGTTGAGGCGCGTAGGTCTGTGAGGTGGGTTTGCATTTCTAGCACGCGTGTTGCTAGCTCTTTGTTTGTTTGGATTAAGGATTCTAGGGCTTGTTGGCGGGATGTGTAGGATGGGTGGGAGCTTGAGAGGGCTGAGAGGAGGGTTGGGTCTTTTAGGAGGGTTTGGAGGTCGATTGTTCTGTTTTGGTTGTTGGTTAGAGGGGGATTGGATTGCTTCTTGGTGTGGGTTGGTTGGGACGTACGATTTGTCTTTTACTAGGTCTGGGAGCCAGCCTTCTTCCACTGTTGGTGGGTTGGGGAGTGTCGGCTGGGTGTTTGCGTATGCTGTTGGGTCTGGCTGGTAGCCTGCGGGGGGCGGTGCCATTGACATGTTTTGCGGGGTGCCACCTCGGCTGGCTTCGTGGCTGCCGGGTTTCGGAGGTGGCGGGGGAGGAGTGTCAGGGTTGACTGGATTCATTTGGGCTGAGTAGAAGGGCGATTGTGGGGGAAAGGGGGATGGTGATTGAGACATGATGGAGTTGGGGAGTTGGGGAGTCGGGGAGGTGAAGCTCGGAGAGAAGGGCAGCTCAAGCTTGGCGGGGCCGACTCGGAGATCTACGTCTACACCCTCACCAGTTGAGGCTCAATTGTTCTTTGTTTTGCCACATGTGTGCGAGTATTGATTCATGATATCATCTAATACAGGAAGATATGGGAATTGAATCCCTGTGTATGAGCCAACAGGCGAAGAAGCCAGCAGACTTCATGTTGCCAATGTTTGGCCGGGTATCGTAGCAGACTAGCCATTGTCGAACAGGTATCGTAAAAGTAGAATTGTCGGGACTCGACTGAGCTTGTTGGCAGGGTTGTTGCCTTCGGTACGGTGCATATCGATGGAGTCTCTTCCGAGAGACTAGATGCAACACAGGGACTGATTGGAGAAAAATCCAGGTTTCTTCCTCCCTTACTCAGTCCTTCTCCGCAGCTCCCGCTCCATAGCCTCAATATTAGAGCCAGCCATGGCATCCTTCACCAGCTCGCGAACCTCATTCTGCACCTCCTCACTCCAGTAGTCCTCCCGAGTCGCAAGTTCCTCAATACGCCTCTTGAACTCAGGGTCAGGTTCACTCGCACCGGCAGTAGCCTCATCCTCGGTCATAGTACCGATATTGACTTGCATATCGCTATCAGGAATGCGCGGCGGGGGTTCAACATGCCAGAGTCTGTCTCGGCCGGAGCACCACCGACGACTTCACGGAGGTAGGCAGTGACTTGTGGGAACTCCTCGTCGGCCTCCATCTTCTCAACAGCTGTGTAACCCTCGCTGTTCTTCTTATTGTAGTCCACCTTCAATTCCTCGATCAAACAGCGTGCGATCTCGGGAGACTCGGTCACGAATAGACATGTCTCGCCGTCTTCGTCGAGGAGGTTGACGTCGACGTGAAACTCTTTCACTAGCGCGCGCAGGAGGTCAACATGGCCGTAGGAGGAAGAGGCGTGCAACAAGGAGTAGCCGGACTCGTCCTGGCATGAGGCGATCGAGGGATTGGCCCGGAGCAGCTCCAAAAGCGCAGCGGGGTTGTCGCAAGCCAAGAGGTAGGGGTTTGGCTGGGCCATGGTGAGTCAGAGGAATGGAGAAGTGTGAGCAGGTAGAGTAGCTAAGTGAGTGAGTAAGTAAGTACTTCGTAGAGAGTGGAAGAAGTGGGCGATCAAAATATGAAAAAAACCCGATAAGGCGAGGCTCTGCCCGCCTTACCTCTTTCGCTCCCCGCACCGTGACACATTTTCTTTTGCTTTGTTTTATGACTCTTGCATGACTCCTGTTTGATCTCGAGGAGACATTTCTCTCTCTCTCTCTCTTTCTCAATTTCCTACTTCACTTCATCACCTCTTTCGCGCCTCTCTCCTTCCCCCACCTTGGATCTGCCCCTCCATCAGCTCTAGATCTCCAGCATCGCGACAACGCACCTGGATCATGGCGACTCAAGATCCCTCCGAGGTCGCACAACTGGTGCGCGACTTGGAAGATGCGCGCAAACAGTCCAAGGGCGAGAAAAAGCAAAAGTTCACCTGCAAGAAGGCAACATTCACAGTCGCCGGTACCAACAATGTGACTGTGGACTCGTGGAAGTTCCAAGACTGGGATTACAAGCGCTCTGGTCTCCCAACCTACGCCCGTGGTCTCTTTACCACCCGCCGCAAGGACGGCATCCCCGAAATCGCGACGCGCGGGTACGACAAGTTCTTCAATATCAACGAAACAACTAACACCCAATGGCACAACATCGAGAAGCATACCAAGGGTCCTTACGAACTTAGTGTGAAGGAGAATGGATGTATTATCTTCATTTCTGCACTGGAAGATGACAAACTTTTGGTCTGCAGCAAGCACTCCACTGGAGTTCGAGAGGACACCGACCAGAGCCACGCACAGGTCGGAGAGCGCTGGACAGAGCACCATGTCTCGTCGGTTGGTCGAAATGTCAAGGACCTTGCACGGACCCTGCGTGAGATGAATGTCACAGCTGTTGGAGAGCTCTGTGATGACAGCTTTGAGGAGCACGTTCTGGCCTACGATGAGGCTGCGTCTGGTATCTACCTTCACGGTCTCAACTACAATCAGCCCGGCTTCACTACAATGTCTTCCTACAAGGTACACGAGTTTGCAGATGCGTGGGGTTTCAAAAAGGCCAAGTTTGAGGTATTGGATGATATCTTTCGAGTACGATCCTTCCTTGAAGGGTGCGCCGAGACTGGTACTTGGGATGGGCGTGAAACTGAAGGCTTTGTGATTCGATGCCAGCTCAGCGACAATGGAACGGGGCCATATCGCGATTGGTTCTTCAAGTACAAGTTCGAGGAGCCCTACCTGATGTACCGCCAGTGGCGTGAATGCACAAAAGCCGTTATTGGAGGGAAACTTCCCAAGATAAGGAAGCACGAACAGATCACACAGGAGTATCTACAGTTCGCTCGGAGGAAGCTTATCAAGGACCCCAAGATGGCCAAGGAGTATCTTCACAACCACGGTATCATCTCCTTGCGTGAGGAATTCTTGAAGGAGAGAGGACTGAAGGGATCTGAAATCATTGCCATGGAAGCAAACGCGCAGGCGAGTTCAAAGGAGATATCCCGTAACATTATTCTTGCACCTATTGCCACTCTCGGATGTGGAAAGACAACAGTCGCTCTCGCTTTGGTCAAGCTTTTCGGATGGGGACATGTTCAAAACGATAACATCCCCAAGCAAAAGAACAAGCCGAAGAAATTCGCATTTGAAGTCAGCGAGGCTCTGTCGAATCACCCAGTTGTCATCGCAGACCGCAACAACCACCAACGACGCGAACGCAAGCAGCTCATGGATGATATTTACCCTGTGCTCAACGATGCCCAATTCGTCGCTCTTCACTACGTCCACGAGCCCAAGGGTCAGCTTCTGCCTAAGATCAAGGAAATCACTCGGAAACGAGTGCTGGAACGTGGCGACAATCACCAGTCGATCCGAGCCGGAACCAACTCGAACCACGAGACCATTGGGATCATGGATGGCTTCCTCACCCGCTTCGAGGGAATCGACACGACCCGCGAGCCCGACGAGAACTACCACCACGTCATCGACCTCGACGTCTGTGCCTCGTCCCGCGAGAACCTCGAGACCGTCGTCAAAGCGCTCCATGCTGCCTATCCCAAGGTAGTCCCGAAGGTGCCGACATCTGAAGAACTCGACTCCGCAATCAACGCCTCGCTGAACGACTATCGCGTCGAGACAGACCTCAGCTACAGCTACGGCGGAACCCAGAAACAAAAGAACAAAAACAAGGCCCAAACCACAGAGACCATCCCCGGCCAAGCTGGCGAATCCCCGCTGTCCCCAACAACTCTCTCCAAGAAAATTGAATACTTCAACATCTCCCTCCCACCAAAGGAAATAACCACCGTCCTCAACTTCATCTTCAGCAACTCCTCAGACGCAAGAACAGCCCAACTCTACAACCAACTCTCCCAAACCCGCCGCCTCCAACCAACCTTCCACGTAACCCTCATCCACCGTGCCTCAAAGAAAGATAACCCGCAAATCTGGGACTCGCTCACAGAACGCTACATCAAATCCCACGCAACCTCCACATCCAACAATCAAATTCAAATCCAAACCCCTCCAACTCTGGGCACAGCGCGCGTCCGTCTAGAACGCCTAGTTTGGGATAATCGTCTCATGGCCTTCGTGGCGCGCATCTTGCCTGCCGGCGCAGAAGCAGAATCTGATACACCCGCCATGGCGCCTGTTTCTGAGGCTGATTGGCCTTGTGCGAATGCCATTCCGCACATTACTGTCGGTACGGTTTCGCAGGATGTTAAGCCCAAGGAGAGTAATGATTTGCTGAAACGGTGGGTTGAGGTTGGGTCTGGTGGTGAGACTGGGATTTTTGAGGCTGAGATTCCGGGTGTTAAGATCGTTGAGGGGGTTGTTGGGTTGGTTATGAGTAGGGGGAAGTGTTGAGTTTGAGTTTGAGTATGGGATGGATGGAGTTGGTGAGATGGACAGGTGTTGATAGCTCTTGCTTTGACTGTGACTTTGGCATGGCTATGGCTATGGCGAAGTTTTGATCTTGAGATTTGCATTGCATTACTTGCTAGCAGCCCTTTTATTTGTTTCTATTTGTTATGCAGCGAGGTACCCTCCTGTTCTTAGGACAGGGAACTCGCTTGCTCCAGCATCGAGATGGACAATCATGTATGACATACATACACTTTTAGCCAGGATACGAAACCAGTTACTTTATCTTTATCATACCTTGGACGAGTTTCCGTCCAGTACTGCAAATCCACTATTCACTATTGTAGTACATAGACAAAGTCACTATCATTGCTAAGGGGATGCAAATGTTCAAGGGAAAGAAAAGGCTTGACTAAGATCTAGCTTGATGATGTATACACAAGAGAAGGCTCATAACGATACTAGGAAATATAAGCCGAGGCAAAAAGTAACACGGGGTCGTTACGCTGCAAAGACTATCACGCTACGCGAAGGCTTCACAGAGTAGGGTGTATGTAAATATGGCCATGATGCAAGAATCCACCCCGGAGGCAACCGCATATCCATTTGTTCATTTCCATCTATCCGCTCACCCAGGCAGTAACGCGCGACGCTCCAAAGCGACCCATGTATTGCAGACCGGTGCTTCCCATAGGGAAATAGCTGACAAGGTACCAGACCAGGGCGGCGAGTTGGAAGATGGAGGAGATGAGGGTGAGGAGGAGGTTTTGGAGCTAGAGACGAGTCAATGAATGGTTCTCTGTCGCGACAGATATTTTTTCTTTCTGTTGTTGCGTTGTGAGGGGTTGAAGAGATGAAGCTGGAATATGCGCAAGGCAAGAAAGCACAGCAGCAACAGCATTTGCCAGGGACGGTGAGACAAAAAGATCACGACTGTTCTGGACTTTGGACTCTGTCGCACTGGGGTGTGTCGGACAAGGTGAACCAAGGGAATTCTCATCCAAGACCCGCGCGGTGTGAGACGTGGTACAAGAGTCGAGAAGCCGACGGGATAGAGGGTGGCATAATCGAGGGAGCTAGATTCGGGATTTGGCCAACGGGGTCATGATAGACGGTACTCAGGTTGCACTGCACGATGGAGCAAGGCTACAAGATTCACCTTTTCCCGGTGGAATGCGACCATACCTCACGTCTGGGTAGAGCGATGTGCAACAAACAGGGAAATGGAAAGATGATCTTGAAAGGGAGAGATCGGCAAGGCCGAAGATAGAGCAAGACCGAAATGGGAAAGAGAGGTAAAGCCAAAGGATAGAATAGGAAGTATTGATTTACTTACCCCGATAGCAAAGTACAGAGTCAGCGCGATGGATCCGAAATAAGCCGCTGTGAATGGAAGCCGTGGTCCCGAGACCAAATGTTTAGCGTAGGACCAGGGTCCCATGAGGACCGCCCATGATAACAAAAACAGGACTGAGCCGACAGACCATCTAAAGAAAGGGCCCGTTAGCATGAATTATCCAAGACAAAGCAGACTGCAGCTCTTGGCATGAGGCGCAGATATAGGTTTGGATCAGGACGAATCACGTCGCTGGACGAGGGATGTATGCGCACATGGCCCTAACCACAATAGACTTATGACCTGGGTGGCCGCGACTCGGGATTTGAGTGGTCGTCCAGGAGCATGAGAGTGCTGAGAAAAAAGAGGAAGGGTAGGATGGAAAGGTCATAGCTGGAGGGGTAGTCCATGGTCGTGCAGGCCATATAGAAATGGAGACTTACAAGATGGCAAATTTGCGGGGCTTGAGTGACAAGACAGGGAACAAGAAGAAGCAGATCATGAAACAGACTGCAGCACCCAAATTACATGCACCGAAAATGAGCATACGGTCCCACCGACTCACTATACGCAGTCAGTCTTAGTGCATTTCTCTCTCCTCTCCTGTCGGATCACAACCAGTTAAACAAGCATGGTGGAAATGAATCCTGCCGGCGCAGGAACTGCAATCTCATCACCTGGGCTCATGTAACGGTGGACGGGACGATCGGAGGATCAGAGGGTTACAAGCCAAGAGGACTTACAAGCAAAGAAGCCCTCTTCTTCTTCCCGACGATTGGCTGCGGG